TGTGCCTTGCATGGACACAGTTCTGACTTGAGCGGGTGTTTTTACCATGTGCCTGGCATGGGCACAGTGCTGAGCGGCTGCACTTGAGCGGGTGTTCTTACCATGTGCCTGGCATGGACACACTGCTGAGCGGGTGCACTTGAGCGGATGTTCTTACCATGTGCCTGGCATCAATGCTGAGTGGGTGCACTTGAGCGGGTGTGCCTGGTATCAATGCTGAGCGGGTGCACTTGAGCGGGTGTTATTACCATGTGCCTGGCATGCGCGCAGTGCTGAGCAAGTGCACTTGCGCGGGTGTTCTTACCATGTGCTGGCATGGATACAGTGCTGAGTTCAGCGGGTGTTCTTACCATGTGCCTGGCACGCGCACAGTGCTGAGGCGGGTGTTCTTTCCATGCTTGAGCGGGTGTTCTTACCATGTGCCTGGCATGCAGTACTGAGCGGGTGCGCTTGCGCGGGTGTTCTTACCATGTGCTGGCATGGACACAGTGCTTACCGGGTGTTCTTACCATGTGCCTGGCATGGACACACTGCTGAGCGGGTGCACTTGAGCGGGTGTTCTTACCATGTGCCAGGCATGGACACCGTGCTGAGCGGGTGCGCTTGAGCGGGTGTTCTGAGTTGAGCGCAGTCATTTGCAACATGGGTTATGGTGCTGAACGGGGCGCACAGTGATTTGCACAGGCCGTGAAGAATGAACGTCACCAACACCAACAACAACAGCAACAACAACAACAACAACCACCACCACAACCACAACAACAACAGCAGCAGCAGCAGCAACAGCAGCAACAGCAACAGCAACAGCAACAGCAACAGCAACAGCAGCAGCAACAGCAACAGCAACAGCAACAGCAAGAGCAAGAGCAAGAGCAAGAGCAGCAACAGCAAGAGCAAGAGCAAGAGCAAGAGCAACGGCAACGGCAACGGCAACGGCAACAACAACGGCAACGGCAACCACAACGGCAACGGCAACGGCAACCGCAACAGCAACAGCAACAGCAACAGCAACAGCAACAGCCACGCACACAGCCACAGCCACAGCAACAGCCACAGCGACAGCCACAGCCACAGCCACGCCGCAGCCACAGCCACAGCCACAGCCACAGCCACACACAGCCACAGCCACAGCCACAGCCGCAGCCAAAGCCACAGCCACAGCCACAGCCACAGCCACAGCCGCAGCCGCAGCCGCAGCCGCAGCCGCAGCCATAGCCGCAGCCGCAGCCGCAGCCGCAGCCGCAGCTGCAGCCGGAGCCGCAGGCGCAGCCGCAGCCGCAGCCGCAGCCGCAGCCGCAGCCGCAGCCGCAGCCGCAGCCGCAAGGCCCGCAGCCGCAGCCGCAGCCGCAGCCGCAGCCGCAGCCGCAGCCGCAGCCGCAGCCGCAGCCGCAGCCGCAGCCGCAGCCGCAGCCGCAGCCGCAGCCGCAGCCGCAGCCGCAGCCGCAGCCGCAGCCGCAGCCGCAGCCGCAGCCGCAGCCACAGCCACAGCCACAGCCACAGCCACAACCACAACCGCAACCGCAACCGCAACCACAACCACAATCGCAAACGCAACCACAACCACGACGACGAGGACAACAACAACAACCAGGACGACGACGGCAACAACAACAGCAGCAGCAGCAACAACAACAACACAACCACAACAACCAACACGAACAATAACAATAACAATACCAATAGCAACAACAACAACAACAACAGCAGCAGCAGCAGCAACAACAACAACAACAACAACAACAACAACAACAACAACAACAACAACAACAACAACAACAACAACAACAACAACAACAACAACAACAACAGCAACAGCAAAACAGCAAAACAGCAAAACAGCAACAGCAACAGCAACAGCACCAGCACCAGCAGCAGCAGCAACCACAACCACAACCGCAACCACAACCATTACAACCACCACCACCACAACAGCAACAGCAACAGCAACAGCATCAACAGCAACAGCAACAGCAACAGAACACAACCACAACGACAACCACAACCACCACCACAACCACAACCACAACAGCCACAACAACCACAACAACCGCAACAACCGCAACCGCAACCGCAACAGCCACAACAACAACAACAACAACAACAGCACCAGCAGCAACAGCAAGAACAACAACAACCACAGCACCAATTGCAACAACCACCAACCAACCAACCAACCAGCCAGCCAGCCAGCCAGCCAGCCAGCCAGCCAGCCAGCCAGCCAACCAACCAACCAACCAACCAACCAACCAACCAACCACAACAACCAACCAACCACAACAACAGCAGCACCAACCAACCAACCAACCAACCAACCAACCAACCAACCAACCAACCAACCAACCACCCACCCAACCAACCAACCAACCAACCAACCGCAACAACAAGAAGGTGCCGCGCGGTGGACGCGGCCTGTGGTTTTTGTCAGTCGATTGTCCAACACCGAAACTCAAAACCTTCGTGTTTCTTCGTTTCAGGTCAGACAAAGCCACGCGCACGCAGCTGCTTCCTTTTTACCCCTCCTGTTCACTTCTTCGCCATCTCAGGCGACAAAGCCCGGTGTTCTTACCATGTGCCTTGCATGGACACAGTTCTGACTTGAGCGGGTGTTTTTACCATGTGCCCGGCATGGGCACAGTGCTGAGCGGCTGCACTTGAGCGGGTGTTCTTACCATGTGCCTGGCATGGACACACTGCTGAGCGGGTGCACTTGAGCGGATGTTCTTACCGTGTGCCTGGCATCAATGCTGAGTGGGTGCACTTGAGCGGGTGTGCCTGGTATCAATGCTGAGCGGGTGCACTTGAGCGGGTGTTATTACCATGTGCCTGGCATGCGCGCAGTGCTGAGCAAGTGCACTTGCGCGGGTGTTCTTACCATGTGCTGGCATGGATACAGCGCTGAGTTCAGCGGGTGTTCTTACCATGTGCCTGGCATGCGCACAGTGCTGAGGCGGGTGTTCTTTCCATGCTTGAGCGGGTGTTCTTACCATGTGCCTGGCATGCAGTACTGAGCGGGTGCGCTTGCGCGGGTGTTCTTACCATGTGCTGGCATGGACACAGTGCTTACCGGGTGTTCTTACCATGTGCCTGGCATGGACACACTGCTGAGCGGGTGCACTTGAGCGGGTGTTCTTACCATGTGCCTGGCATGGACACCGTGCTGAGCGGGTGCGCTTGAGCGGGTGTTCTGAGTTGAGCGCAGTCATTTGCAACATGGGTTACGGTGCTGAACGGGGCGCACAGTGATTTGCACAGGCCGTGAAGAATGAACGTCACCAACACCAACAACAACAGCAACAACAACAACCACCACCACAACCACAACAACAACAGCAGCAGCAGCAGCAACAGCAGCAACAACAACAACAACAACAACAACAGCAACAGCAGCAGCAAGAGCAAGAGCAAGAGCAAGAGCAGCCAGTGGACTTGTCCCTATCTCACCTCTAACTAGGAATGCTTAGCGCGTTGGGGTTGGTTGAAAATTGGTTGAGTACGATGAGTGAGCGTATTGGCTTTTGTGTTGCATTGGTTTAGTTCGCGCAGTCTCTTCCTTTCTTTTTTCGGTGTTCGGGTTGCATTGATACCGACACTTCCCCAGCCGTCCATTACATCATCACAACGCTGTAATATTTGTACACGCCCATAGTTTTCCATTGTGTGGGGACAGGAATGAACTGAGACGACAACCACACCTGGCAGTGCCATAGATACTCAAGTGTTTCCGAGGTCATAACCGGCGTGAGTTTTCTTGGGGCTTGCCGATGAAAGATTCCCAAGCCTTTGATTTTGAATCTTCAACCCAGGAGCCACCTGAAAGAAGGTGCGTTTGGGCTCCAAGAGCCCGGATTGATTTACACTTCCATATGCATACACATGTATGCGTATACAGATGAACATACACATGGATTGTGCCAATGGCAGGTACTAAGGTGAATGTCTTGAAGTGGGGCGAAATGTAGCCATTTGAAGGCGTCAAATCGGTCCTACAACAGGGATTTTTTTTTTGAACCAGCGCCCGGCCATAGGTTTTGCCAATGAAACCCGGCGCCAGCGAAGCCAGCGTTTACCCTTTCAGTCGAAGGGAAGGTTGCTAAAGCAGACTCCAAGGCGCCACCAGACCCCAAGGGGGCAATGTGGGGCCTTTCTTCAGACGCCGTCTTCAACTTTTCACTAACTAAGCCAGTCCACCTGCCGTTGATTGTGATGCACATGCGTAACATACCTACATACCTACCTACCTACCTACCTACCTACCTACCTACCTACCAGATACATACATACATACATGCATACATGCATACATACATACATACATACATACATACATAGATACATGCATGCACGCACGCATGCATACATACAAACGCACACACACACATACATACATACATACATACATACATACATACATACATACATACATACATACATACATACATACATACATACATACATACATACATACATACAGACACACACACACACACACATACATACATACATACATACATACGTACGTACGTACGTACGTACGTACGTACGTACGTACGTACGTACTCACGCACGTACGTGCATACGTACAGTTATACATTCGCCCATTCATACACACCTACATACATTCATACATACATTCATACACACACGCACGCACGTCATGCATGTAACACATGCAGTGGATGTAGCGCATGGACTGCGTAGTGTATGCAATGTTTATTTATGTAGTGTGCGTAATGAAAGCAGTGTAGGAAAAAGTGATGTCTGTAATGTGTGTCATGTATGTAGAGTGCATACCGCAAGCAATGCGTGGAAATGCAACGTATGCAATGTATGTAACTACTGTACTCAACGTATGTATGAAGGTATGTATGAATGTATGTATGACCGTATGTATGAATGTATGTATGAATGTATGTATGACATGTATGTATGACATGTATGTATGAATACAACACATGCATGCGATCAGTATGTACATATATGGTGCTGTCTCCCAATCTCACAGGAGCTGCTTGCACTCGACATTGTGCACTTCCTCTTCCAGGCAAATCGTAATGTCGCACTGCTTGCGTCATTCGCTCAACATTATTCTTGTGCAGCGCGGATTCAGAGGCATTCTGCGAGCTGGCTACAGAGTCTCAGATGACGCAGCTGGCAGAGCAGTGCATGGCGCCAACCCTAGGCACAACTTTGCTAATTGCATTGAGATCCGACTCGATTCCAGAAGTATCCTCTGAAGTCGATATGTCTTCAGCTCCGAGGATGGTGCAGCCTACTTGCTGTCGTCAAAAGCTGGCGCGGAGGAGATCAACGGATTGCCACGCAAATCGACCTCTCTTGAAGCGCAGGCTTTATTGAGATTGCTTGGTGTCGCGAATGCCAAGCAGCGCAAGGTTGGGGCAGTAGATAGAAAACCAAAGCCGTTGCTTTCTGCCCGCAGGCATTTTGCAGAGACCTGAAGGGCAAATGGGCTCCATTGGCCACGAACTCCGTGGACTATGTGGTTGGCCTCTTAGCTCCTGACTACGTGCTACGAGCAATTCAAAGGCAGCATCCGTCCGCAGCTGTCTAGTTCCTTGGTATGCTGTGCAGGTCATGATGCGAGTGGCAACTACAGTGGATGACACCGTGCTGCTATCCAAGACTATGGTTGCAGAATGGATTCAGGAGTGCGTCTCATTTGCCTTCCAGCATGTGTAGTGAACTGTTGCAGGACATGGAGACGCTTTGTTTCGACAAGTACGCGCACAAGGCGACAGCCCATAGGCTGAGGTCATAAGGTCCTGGCAGGTCCGGGCACGTCTTGGGGGCTGAGGGGGAAGGAAGGTCTCAGACCTTTCTGCAGGTGCTGGCATGGCTTCTGAGGTGCGGCGCTCCCAGTTGGACCTGTGAGGTTCTGAGTGCTAGGCCTGGTGATGCGCACCTCTTTTCGCCCTACGAGTGCTGCTCTGAGGGCAAAGCGGAGTCACTTGCGAGGCGCATGGCGCATGTGCGATTCGCCTCGGCATTCCTAGGCGAGAGTGCCTTGCGTTGCCAGCTCCAGCTTCGCAGAAGGTGCCCGCCTGTTGGCTTGGTAGTCGTAGTCGTTCCTTTCTGCAGACACCTACACACCCACACACACAACACAGACAAGCAAGCAAGCAAGAAAGCAAGCAAGCAAGCAAGCAAATAAACAAAAGCACACAGAAACAAAGACATAAACTCCAACAAACACAATTAAGCACAAGCAAACAAGCACAAACACACATACGCACAAACAGACAAACAGACACACAAACAGAAAACAACCACACACAAACAGACCCCCGCATGCACACACACATACACGCCCACACGCACATCGGTGCTCGTTTCCTTGCTTGACTCGTGCGCTGCGGAGGCGCCAGCGAAAAGACAGCAAGAGCTGCTGCGCACTTTGAAGTGCGGCAGCCCAGTACCCGTCATCCCATGCCAAGTGAAAGAGGTGCAGCCCAGGCCAGCCATCCTTGGTGTATTGCTACAGAAGCCTCTAGTGGCCGCTGTTGATCAAAGCGCCAAGGAGCGTAGCTCTGTTGACATCGATGGTTTCACAGCTGTTTTCGGCCTCGGAAGGAGCTGTTGGCAGCCTACCTGTCATCTGACTGGGACGAAGCCTTGATAGAGGCTTTGGTGACCGCCACTGTACAGGAGGCGCCTCGTGTGACATGATGATATATTCCAGTATGGAAGAGAGTCGAAGGCAAAGAAGGAGGACTTGGGCCTGCTGAACAATGGCACCGCAACCCATTCTCTGATTGTCCTCATGAAGCTGGAGCCAGAGAAGGTTGGGTTTGACATTTTAGACCAACTTGTTTTTCTCTGGCTGGTTTTTCGTGGCGTTTGCGGCTTTGCAGGCTTTGCAGGCTTTGGAGGCTTTCTGGCTTTTGTGGCATTTGTGGCTTTGCATTGCTTTACCCATCCTGAAATCCTACCCCAAGTTCACCCTCATCAACTAACCCTAAGCCAATCCCTAAAGACCTCAAACCAATCCCTGAACCGGCGAAATTCCAAGTCTCCCACGAAAACCCAGGGGGGGGGGAGCGGCACATGTCTCAACAGAGGAAACTAGTAATTCTACCCACAGCTCATACCGGCAAATGTAACGCAGTGAAGTATTGAAAGCAGTGCCAAGGACACCAAAGTGGCACAATTTGCAGGACCTGCTCTGCGTGGGGTGTGCGCTTGTGTAGTGATGGTCGTAGGATACGTGTCTGAAAATGCCGCCTACACAGACTTCATCAACAAAGAGTTGGTGCAATTCGCCAAGTATGACGTTTGCCCGGCTCAACTGAGCTGCCTGGATGGAAGCAAAGAAGGTGAATCCAATCTCATCGCCAGGTCTTGCGTGCCATCCCCTCGCTGGTTGACGGCTACAAGCCGGTTCACCAACCCACAATCAACACCTGACCCCATTCTAAGCCCATCACTAGACCCAAAACCCACTCCAGCGACTTTGGAGTGAGAGACTAGGGACCTCGCAGGGACCGCACCTCTCCCAGCAACTTTGGGAGAGATGCTTGCGGCTGGGACCTCAGACGCCGCTTGCGATGTGAGGGCTATCTTCAATTGAATTCTCAAAAGGCAGATGTCGTCGATGCAGCGATTTTAAGGCCACACCTAGTTGCGGCTGCTACCAGCCGGTGTGCATTTGTTCTGCTGGACATGCTAAAGCGCAGGATCCCGAGGAATGGAGGGATGTGGAGTTCTTCAAATCAGCATATTGCAACATTGAAATTTGACAGATAGCATCAGGTGATTCCCTGAAAGAGTCGATCCTGATGGACCTGAGGCTGCCTTTTTTTTTTGCAGCGATTTGTGCCGCGAATGGCCTTGGAGCGAGGAAGAAGAAGGGGGTGATCGAGAAGGCCTTAGCCACCACTGAGGCCGAGCCGTCGAGCCGTTTCTGAGAGGGGTTCAGCCTCAACGGCCTTGTGGGGAGGCAGCTGGCCTTAAAGTCAATGGCGCAAAGAACCTTCTCGCGGAGGCCTGCGAAGAGTTGCTTTGTGTCTGGAAGTGTGCTGGGCAAATCTTAGGTCAAGTGACGGGGCCGGCCTCGGAAGTGTGATCGCAAGCTGCTCACATTTCAGTTAATGATGCTGGTGGGCAATTCCCATCTGTGGCAAAGGGGTAGAAGAGCTTTTCATCAGACTCTCGAAGTCCCTAGCCTGTTCCAAAATTGGTCTTGCTCTGCTGTGAAGCTTCCGCGGATTCTGTTGGATCATGACTGCACCACACTCGTTGAGCGGCACAGCTTGACATGCCAGACGCCCTCCATCTGCGATTGACCGGACAGGCTTACTGTCGATGCAGGCAAATTCTCCGGTAAACACCAAAAGAGCAACACACTTGCTGGTGTATCTTTGTATGGGAAGTGCAGGTATAGGAATGCCAATCCCACATTATCACAAGGCGCTCCACCAGAATTATTCCTACTTTTACAGCCAAAGCCGCTGCTGCTCCCCTTGGCCATTGCACATGTCTGGCGTCGGCAACTCAGAGTACACCAACGCGACCAGTGCATAGGCCCCAATGTGCATGAGAACTGTATTGAGTTGCCACGCCAGCCGCCGACGCTCCGGGACCCAATGGGTCTGCCCCAAGAATCCGCCGTGAGTGCCAACTGCCTAAGATTGCTTGACTGGGTAACCATTTTGCGGAGCCATGTTAGTTTCCAGCTTGTTTGTTTGTTTGTTTGTCACTTGCTTTCTGACTTTCTTTCTTGCTTACTTTCTTTCTTACTTACTTTCTTACTTGCTGACTTTCTTGTTTTCTTTCATATTTACTCATTGTGGGATGTGGTGTTGCTTGGCTGGTTAACATGACCAAACTGAGGATGCTGGGATGCTGGTGATGCTGGGGGTGCTGGGGATGCAGAAGCGCATCCACCAAACAAGAAACCTCCAAGACACGTGATGAATGAGGCTGGGCAAGTTCAATTGCACCCTCCCAAATGGCGTCAAGCAACATGATGGGTTGACCGGGGGGTTAGCCCGGACTGAGGAGCAGGCGCAGAGCACGCGAAGTTCGGAGTATGCAAACGCAGCACAAATAGCGGTGTTTTATGGGGTTCGTGGCCAACTGGCCGTGTTGCTGCTGGCACGCTGGGGGTGAGGGTGTAATCTGAGCCCGCTTGCCGGAGTGTGGCCCAAGAGCCCTTGACGAAGTTCAGGCAACTTTGACACAGCGACCCAGTTCCCGCGGCCTGTTTCCCCAATGGCCGGCTTTTGGTTGCTTGTTGTTGCCGTTCTCCCAAACTCACAAAATTGACCCGGGCCTGGACAGGGGAGGGGTTGAATCTCAATACTAACTTTGGATGAATCTGGAAGACCATATCCTTTCCGTGACACATGAGGCTCGCCTAGCCCTGACCAACACCAAGAGGCAGCTGTCGCTTCCACATCCAGAAGCTCCCCCCAAGTCTATGCTAAGCTTTCAGTGCGGAGGACAAAGGAAAGACTATGCCTGAGTGTCCGCACAAGCATGAAGCTTGCTGAAAACCGGGTGTTTTCGTTGTCCTTCGCATTGGAAGTCATTTCAGCCCCTCGACCAAAACAAAGGGGCCCCTGGGCTCCTGTATGTCTTTGAGCAACTGTTTGTGCGTGTACATGGCTCAAAACGAAGACAAGCCAAAACTGACAAACACCAGCTGAAGAGAAAACTGGATTGGGTTTGCCGGCTGTGGCAAGGATTTCAAGGAGGAAATCGGAAGTAACTATGATTCGTCATCAGGAATCATACGGCAAATCGTCTGGTAAAGGAAGAAACAGAGGATATAACAATGATGGAAATGGTGGTATACAATGGAGGAAAGCAAGGTTAAAGAAGTAATGGAAATGGAGAATATAGTGGCAGAAATGGTGGCGAATTATAGAAATACTGGTGGTACGGCGGTATTCCAGATCCAAGATAGCCTCTACCATCTACACACGTGGGCAGTGGCGGGAGATGTGCTCGTGCCGCCTGCTCTACTTTTGAAGCCCTCAACAGCTTTTGCAGGTAGCTGTGTGCCCCTTCGCCTCAGCAACGGAGGGAACGAAGCTTTGCTTCAAATTGCTTCACGGGTGACAGATTGTAGCATTTCCATTGCGAACCTGAAGGGATCAAAGCCATCAATTTACTGTCACACTTGTTTGACATGCAGCAGCTTCGCTGGGTAGATACTTTTGTGGCAGTATGGCAATGAGAATTTGGAATCACTTCCATCAAGAGACAAATGAAGTCCCTGCTTTTGCGCGGCTTGACTGTGCTCAGGTGCATGCGACCAACAGCTGGAAGGAGCCAATTCGACCAGTGTTTTCCAGATATGCGCGTCAACGCTTCTGTTGGCACCATGCTTGTGCTTCAGGATACCATCGTCAAGGAGAATCGCCTCCGCAGGCTTCAAGTGGAACATTTTTTAGTGTCAGTATGTCAGTATCTACATTTTTAAGTTTTTAGTTGCCACCACGTGGCAGCGTGCATTGACTGAAATGTGGCCCTCGAAGGTCATATTGGCTCGGACGATTTGGATCTGGTGCCAGTGCGGCAATTACCGACTGCAATCGCAGCTCTTGTGACACCAACATATTTGCTTCTACAACGCCAGGTGCGCTGCCTGCAGAGGGGGAGATTCTTTATGACCCGTACAACAACGACAAGGCAAGGATGGTCGGGACGGCGAAATACTCGGGCTTTGTCAGAGTTGAGGTGCCGGCTATAAGTCCCCACCGAGCGTTGGCCATTTCTGACATTGCTGGTCACAAGCCGCGGTCTCAGCAATCATCGCAACAACATCAGGCCAACTGAAGCAGCACATCGATTCGATTAACATGGGCAATTGTAAATCAAAATCACACCTTGGTTTGGGTTGCTTAACCAGGATCAGGAAGCAAATTGGGTTGGATTGGTTCGCTTTTGACTTGAGTTTTGGTTGTGGGGGATTGATTGAGGGACGTGGACAATAGATGTGCTATGAATGGGTACATCAGGATTTATGTCGCTCAAGGACTCAGCTCAGAGATTCAGAATACAGGGCAAGTTTAGAGTTTGGCGATTGGTCATGACGACTGCTTCATTGATTCATAGTCAGAGGTGACCACACAGTTCACCAATGCCAATCCCCAACTCCCAACAATCGACCATGCGACGCAAAATCAGCACTTTTGCCACCATGCCTTGAAGCGGCGTAGTTGCAGAGTCAAAAATAACGAACAGATGTGCAAGCCAGCAGTGTGCTGGATGCCATGAGCAAAAGCAATGCTTTGCCGAGGAAATAGTGGGACCCTGTCTCTTCAATTTGTGTTGTCCTTTGTGGACAAGCTCAGATAGGTGCCAGCCAAGCATGAGGTCTTGGGAGAAGTTCCGCCACACTGGACGCGTTTGGACCTCGGATTGCCCAGCCTGTGCGCCTGCGCCTGTGCCAAGCAGGCTGACGAGGCTCTGAGCACTGGCAGCCCTGGCAGCCTCGGCAGAGCCAGCAGCGGCTTCAGATGGCATGCGCATGGAGCACACCTGTCATTCGCATGTCGCTTTTCAGGCGCCTCCCAGAAGGCGACGTCTCATCGCTCTCACTCAGAAAGGAGGCCTGGCACAGTCAATATGGCGGTGGCGCCTGTAGGTTCTGCGGTAGACACAACAAGTCGAGGCCAGTTTTGAGCCCTGAAGCACTTGTCGCCAACAATGTTGCTCACCCGGGATCGCTCGATTTTCAGCTGAAATCCACTCTTTTTGCGCACTACTCTTCAGCCCTCCACCATACCACCCGCCTGCCAACACAGCGCCAGAATAGCTAGCAGGTATTGCGCCAAAAACAATTCCTGCTCCAATTGCGCCCAGGGCTATCGTGAGTTTCCCCACCAGCAAAACTCGAATGCCTACCCTGCTCTGAGTATATCGTGCGAGCAAGTCCCAAGGCGTATAGCTGGCCATGAAAGCCTCAATTGCACAGGTCAACCGGGAGCCGGTCTGTGGCCTCCTTGCTCTGGCCTTGAGTGTCGTTCTGCTTTGGTTGTTGTTTGCAGCGCAGATTTGTTGCTTCTTGTGACTTCACTGCACGTGCAGCAAGGCGAACTGCCATCGACGTGGCTGTAAGGTCCTCATTGGCAATACAGTCTCTTGCAGCGTACCTGAAGTGAAGCTGTAAACTTGCTTTGGATCAATACTGCGCGACGAGGTTGAATCCGAGCTGGCGAAAGCAGGCCTTGCCAGCTTGAGGCCAACAATGCCCCATGCTCAGGGAGGGCCATGCAACATGGAGATGAGACACTGCGACTATGAGGTCTTGAAGGAGTGAGAAACCAAGAGCCCTCGAGCAGCTGCCAAACAGCAGCAGCCAAGTTAGTTTAAAGGCAATTTGCACACTTGCTGGCACCTCCCAGTGCCAAGTGCTTTGATAATGATAGCTTGAATGCTGGTGCGAGTGGCGCGCACTCAAACCCGCAGAGTGCCTTGTCCTCAGGCCCCCAAGGGGCAAAGCAGGGAGGCGCATGCGGCAAAAACATACCGTAAAAGTGAGAAATGGCTGTGTTGGTTGAGTAAGTTGTAAGTGTTGTTGCCATTCGGCAAGGCATCTGAATTTTGTTTTTCCACAGAACAAGCAAACTTCATTTGTTTCTTTACAACAAGAACACGAGACCCTTTTGATATGCACAAGTATAGCGGCGCTTGCTCTCACCAGTGTGCGCTTCAAATCCCTAACGCGGTTCGATCTTGCAGTCCTGACAAAGCAAAGAGTTCCATGGAGACCTGTGCCTTGTACTTTCAATATTGTCTTTGTTTCTCTTTCCGGGCTGAACTCCCCCTAACTTCCTCGGGGTCAAGATTGAGGTGTGCATGGCAGGGAAAGCAACACGGGCATATGGAATGTCTAGACTGGGTTCCTCAACGTACAACGTGCACACTCCAAGCCAAACTAGAATTTCATGATGTGAAATTCTGGATGGCAGTGCGAGCGAGAAACCCTCAATGACCACCTAACCTATCATATGGGGCATTCTGGCGGTCGTAGCTCTCTAGGAGGATTGCCTTTGGGAATCACATCATGCCAAAGCCCATTCACAAGCAACGTGCTTTTGCACTGGTGCAAGGAGGTGCAAGCACTGCATTATACGAACACAGCGAGCGAGACATTCTCAAGTGTTTAGAGGAGTCAAACACTGGAACGCCCAGAATCACCTGCTCTTTCTTTTAGCCGAAGGACTAGCAGGGTTTTTTTGCCACACATCAATCATCACTTAGCTTCAGCCTTCCTTGACAAAAGTGTGCTCTCAATATGCCGGCCACAGCCTGCCATGATATGGTCTTTGGCGTTTCAAACACTGGTGCTAGCAAGGGCTGCGTCTCCTCAGTCAGCGGACTGCTGGACAGCAGGTCGGACTCGTGCGTATTGCTGCTACATTGCGCGGCGGCAGCAAGAGTGCTTCCAAGACGCTGACACATGCTGCCAGGCCAGTTCTGTAAATCTTGGACAATCAGTTTTTGCGAAGTTGCTGGAGCAATTGCCATCGGAGTTGTTCGGCTACTTGCAGCGGCTCGTGCAGAGTCGGCAGAAGGCGCTGTACTCCCCCGCTGCAACCGCTCTGACCCACGAGTTGTTGAAACGCGCAGTTGTTGAGATTAGCAGAGCCAAGAACTCAACCAAAGTGGGCGAGTTGCCGTTTTTGGGGACAGCCTTTCGAGCTACATTCTTGTACTTCCTTTCCCTGCATGGTTTGCGAAGGTTCATCCCTGCCAAATACAAGTCCTCCATGATGAGAAGAGAGCCTTTGCTTTGGTCCGGCTTCACTGACGTGTATTTCGGCGCATGGGGCAGGCGAGACTTTTGTCGGTGTGTCGAGGCTGGCGAGTTCTTCTCACGAACCAACACACAACTGGCACAAAGCGGCATCGGGAGAGTGGACTTTCCGCGTACATTCCTCAACGACACTTTGGAGCATCACGCTCTGAGCGCTCAAAACTGCCACATGTTTGAGGAGGGAACACTGCATCCAGAAGCAACCCTGAGAGTTGCATTTTCCTCCCAGTGCATATCAGGGGACATTGCCACGCTCATCACTTTGCTTCATGGTTGTATCCTGGAACAAGACATGAACAAGGTGGTGTTGCTGCACGAAGGCATCTTCCAGCTGTCCACCTTTGCCGTGGATTGCCTCGATGCGCGGCTCTGGGGCTTCACGGTGCGGGATGCCGCGCTCCACTTCGCCAGGCTCATTTGGGTCATTTGGACGAAGAAGCAAACCTTCGCCTTCGACGCAGCGCTGCAGCGAGGCATCGCGTGGAGCAGGGCCGGGAGGGCGAGAGGTGAGACGGGCCAGAGCGCAACTCCCGGCACCGGAGCGCCCTGGAATTCCCAATGTGGGCCCCACGTGCTGTCTGCGGCTGTAGTTCAAGATCCCGAAGGGCTGAGTTCATACGGGTCGCCATCGACCCATGGGCCGCTGTGTACGGAGCTGGGCCGCTTCTGGCTGCAGTTGAAGCTTCAGACTGTACCTCCTGCGCCTCCGGAGAGCTCTCGCACCCTTGCTGTGCTGCCAATCACAATGTCATGGGAGTCAAATCCCTGGCATCACTTGCATTGGTGGCTTCCAGCAATTTGGTACTTCAAAATCCAGCTGAACCTGTCACCCAAAGATGTCGACGTCGCACTGGTTTTTCCCCGTGCTGACATTGATTGGGCTATTTCAACTGCTGAAGGCAGAACTCTTGATGTGAACTTCCGAGGTCATACAGAACCTGCAGTTTGGTCAATCCTGCAGCACACAATGCCCTTCACCACAGAGGAAGCAATGAAGCACTGGGGCCCAGACGGCATTCACCGAACCATTCTTGGTTGGCTTTCCGAAGCGAAGGCAAAGGCTTTGGTGGAGTTCTACGGAGCCAGCTACAATCGCCTCATTATGGGACTCCCTTCTCTTCGATTCTTCTTGCAGACGCCTGGGCTTACATGTTCTGCTATTGCGCGCGTACGACATTGGATACAGTCGCTGGGGTACTTTTCGGCTGGAGCCATGCACAATTCTGACACAGGCAGCGGCACTTGTTTTGCTTCCTTTTTTATGCAGTTTATATTGGGTGAATGACTTTTGACTGTCCCTGCCAGGCTCGTCAGCTTTGCCGGCTGGCTTGCTAAAGCTTGCCATCATTCAGAGGCCTGATGCAGATGGGCGCAGGATTCTAAATCTGGATGAGGCCTCTTGGCTGGCAAAGCAGAACACTGCATGCATTCCCCTGGGATGCTAGCCCGCATTTGCAATGACGGGGCGCTAGACGTCGGCGCCAGGTTCTGAGCTTGGTGCAGACCAACTTCACCGAACTGATGCCAACCGTCGTCCATGGTCTGGCTCATGGCACGCCGTGGGTCGACCAATTTCAGCAGTTCTCCGGAGCAGAGACTCGCCATGATAGCACGCACCAACACAGCGCGCTGAAGAAACAGGGGTCGAGTCTGTCAACGGCATGTGGGGCTTTGGAGCTGAGGATATACTCTTGGCTGCGCACGGAGCGGGGCTTGCGTGGCTTTGGGCTTTGCGAGCGGGCGCGGCGGTGGTTGAACTCAGGCAGGGCAAGGGGAGCAAAGCTTTTGCCTTCCACGAGTCCGGGCAGGAGTCGCAGCTCGCCTGTATGGCTGCAATGTGTAGACCTCAGGGCTGAGGGCAGGGGGATAGCAGCCATTTCGGGCAAGGCTCTGAGCTGTGGAATACGGACTCTTCGGAAATCTTCGGAGGCTTGGCTCGACTGGCCCGCAGCTGAGTAGCGTGATCTCACACGCGCTGCATGCGGTTCTATGTGAGGCTGGAATGCACCACATTTGCACGCGGCCGCACGACATGAAGGGTACCCTGGGGGAGGCACCGATTTGTGTGCCACGGCACACGACGGTGGCAGTGGCTCGGCTAGGCTCGCCTGTCATTTGTTGGAGACATGAGCGATGCGGATGCCTACAACCACAGCGCTGACGTGCTCCCGTCTCTTGTTGGGCTACTGGGATGGGCTGGACACATCAATGGACGCATGTGCAGATCGTTGATAGAACACTTGAGCTCGGATTTGCTGAGCTGGCAGGTCTTTGTTTGGCTGCCCAAAGCGGCGATCCTTTTGCGCTCTGCTGTGGCCCAAGACGTGAGCCTTTAGAGCATGATGTTGGAGATTCCAAAGGCTTGCTTTTGAACTTGTGACTGAAGGCTATTTTGCTGGCTCTTGGAGAGCCGCTGCCATGTGTCGACTATCATTGGTGGACCTGACCAAGCTGATCAAGCAACGGAAACAGGTCATAGAGTGCTATACTGGCGAAGTGCCATCGGTGGACCAGTACTATAGGCCATGGCTGACGACTCAACCAGCACCCTGCAGGCCAGATTGCCGGTTTCACAGGGGCATTGAATGATTTTGCTACGCGAAATGGCATCGCTGGGTGGATGTGGGCCAGCTTTGTTTGCCATCATACGCGGCAGGTTGAAGCGGGCGAAGCTGTGTTTCTTGAAGCCAAGAAGTGCACGCACTGCGTGTGCATGTGCGTGTGCGTGCGGATGCGTGTGCATGTGGGCGTGTAGGTCTCCAGCAAAGCTTGGTGCACAAAACAAGCAGTGCCACTTTGCACGGATTCGATTTTGTCAGCGCCTGTTTTTTTCCAGGGACGATCTTCGGCGTGACATGTTTTACATGTTGCGTAGGGCATTTGACTGACAGGCGCGCAACCGCGTAGGCGTGCGCAAGCGTTTCGCAGAGGCTCAGGTTGCGTAGCCTCGTGTAGTCTGCCCAATAAGCGACGATTTGATAGGTTGAGTTGTCACGTGGCATGTGCTGTTATGAAGCGGATAATGATATGAAGCGTTGCTGTGGGGATGGTCTGACGGCTCGTGAAGCCCTGCGTGTCCAAGAACGTATGATGTTCCCAAATTCAATGTGTACCTCTACTCGACTTGTATGGACCTTAAGTTGCGCTGTTTGAGCTGGAGCTGCAAAAGTATACTACACTTGTACTGAAAAGTTCTGAATTTCCAGCTGAAGCTCCCAAAGTGCTCTGCAACCTCGCGGCGTCGTTCCAGTCCTCCGAAAGGCCACCGGTCATCTACTTGCAGTGCCACATGGCGATCAACGAATCAGCGTGAAGACCGGGGAAGGAAGTTCAGCAGCTTGCTGCTAACGGCCTCTTGGCTTTGAGCATGTCCTGCACAGCGCAGCCTGAACTTCCAGCAGGAGGAGCACCGGAATCCAGGGGGTGAGCGGAATCCACTGCAGATATGCAGAAGACGTGACGCCAGCTCGGCATTCAAAAAGAAACATGCCAGACACTCACATGCGACCCACGCACAAAAACAACATACATGACATATTTGCACATCCGCATCAATGTCACCAGCGATACTGTGTGTTTTTGGCTCAAGTTGTGATTGAATACCAGGCACCATGAACTCCAACATCGGAAAACAGGAAACAGCACAGCCTTACCATGGCTTGCAGCTGCAGAGCAGCCACTAGAATTTCCTTTCTGGTGCACAGCAGCAATCATGGGGAAGCTGAGCGCTGAACTCAGCTCCAGTCGCAAGATGTCATGCTGACCTGGCGGTCTTGCATTGAAAGTCTGTCACTGCCCAGGTATTCACGTGGCCATGCTTGTGCTGGCCTTGCACTGCAGGCTCAGCTTGTTGCCATTGATTACAAACCGCAAGCTGAGTATGCTGACGAGCACAAGTGTCATTTGCGTCAGTTTACGCTGCTGTGCAAGGCTTTCCTCAGCTGACACTGACAATGTCACATGGATCGTCCTGAACGCCTCAGATCCGTTGTTTGCAGATGCAACAGTACGCATGAGTCAGGAGATGCTGCCATAAGATCAAAGCGAACACATTTAGCAAGCGCACAATTGTCCAGTCGTCCAGGATGGCAGTTGTGGCGTTGCGCTCTCAGAGCTTCCAACGACGTTTGAAATTTGCTTCGCCTGTAGCAACGTCACACAAGGCTGGGACCGTTCCCGGGTCCGTGCGGCCAGCTCTCTCAGGTGAGATCTTGCAGCATCTCCAAATGCTTTGCCATGTTTGCCATGTTCAGGTGTGGAGGTGCACTCAGCTGCTTCAGTCCCTGGCAACGTGCCTTGGACGCATCGACGCTGAGTTGGCTTCCCATGCACTGGGCTCCCAGGAGTGGCGCTGGTCCGATGAGACGTTGGAGTGTGCCGCAGGAGAGACTTGCCTCTACCAAGGGAACCTTGGCCGCGAGCTCAACAGCGCTCGCAGATTGCCGCGTCGCATCTGGCTGCGAGTCTGGGAGTCTGCGAGTCAGTCTGCGAGTCTGGGAGTCTGCGAGTCTGGGAGTGGCAGGCAGCGTGCTGAATGTGCCGAGGCTCCGGGGCCTTCTCCTGCCCGCTAGAGCCCGGCGGCCCTGCTGCCGAGAGGCTGAAGTGCGACTGCGAGCAGCAAGCTGAGCCAGCGCGAGTGCGCGCGTCAGCCTGTGAGAGTGAAAAAGGCAAGACTCTGAACCCAGGCAGTGCCCTTGTGCCAATGGAACTGGTGGCTTCATGTGCTCACACTGCGCTAGTGCCCAAGATTCATAAAGTTTCGTGGCTGCCGCTTCAAGACTCATAGCAGGTCGAAGACGCGGCTTGTGGAGAAGGAGGCTATTGCCACAGGCAAGGCTTGCGCTGAGGGTTGTCGCCAAGTGTCATTCAAACAAGTTTGTGAGATGACTCGATGGCCAGGAAAATGATGATGGATGAGGTTGACAAGCCGCGATCCAAGCATGGTGCTTGCATTGGACACGTGTTCTCTTGTCAAGGTCCTTTTCTTGCAGCTTCTCCGATGCATTTAGAAGGAGTCCGACATACAGATTGTTGTGGCCCTGGCCTCATGGGGCGGGGAAGGGAATGAACGGAATACAAGACAAATTTACATGGCTCTGATGCACGGCAGCGAGTCAAGTCATAGACGAGCAGCTCCACCGCGCAGCTCAGGTCAGATGGCTGGGCAAGCCCGAGCTTCCTTGCGCAATACTACCCCTCGGTTGGCAAAGCGCGTCTAGAAGCACGGCTGCAACTGGAGATTGTCGCTAGAAGCGTTCGTTCGGGAGCGGCCGTGCCTCATGTGGAGGATATCATCAACACGATGTGCAGCCATCGCCAGCCTATTTTGATGCAGCATGGGCCCTACGTGATACTTGCGAGACAAGGGCCGAGCAGTCACGTGATCCGCTCTTCCTGATGCCTTGTGTGCATGGCTCAACGCTCTCAGGTGTAGCTGCGAGCAGTGCACCTCAAATTATGATGAGATAGACCCTTTGACGGGAGAGCAAAGTGGTGCACGCAGCTTAGAGTGACTGCTAGCTTGTTTTCATCGATAGGCCATCCATGAAGCCAGCCTCACTTTTGCTCGCAAGGTCTGCAAGCAGAAGAAGGTTCCAAGCCCTTGTGCCAGATGTGAAACATGCTCGCTGTTGCCTTAAAGTGCATGGCTTCTTCCGCAGAGCACATTTTGCAGTCACAGCTGAAATGCGATTGAGCGCTCTAAGGTGCAGCTACCCAGCGGACTCATGGCTGTCTGCAATCACAAGGACTGCGGCTAAACGGCCCGCAGCTGCCGCATTGGCCGTGTTGACTGACTGTGTTGGGTGCGCCCAGAACATGCATGCGAAACTGAGTGGACGATGTGTGGAGGACAATTGTGGAAGGTGTCTCCAGAGGCGTCTATCTTGGGTGCGAGGCAGGATGCAAAGGGCAGAATTCACAGTTGTTTCCGCCATGGTTCTCTCATGAACTTGCTGCTAGCTCAGTCTGTTTGGACGTTGAGTAACGGTTTGCGCAGAAACAAGGCACGGCATCATGAAATGGCAAACAGACACAGAATATGATTTTGACAGATTCCAACAGAACTGCATCACGTGAGCCTGGCAGTCTGTCATAAATTATCACTCCCCATTGGTCTGACCACACATCAATTTGACTATTTTTCACGCGGCACCGTCCATTAAACTGTAAGGCCATGAATTCGACGTGTTCATCAAATGCCTTGCTTGCACACGGCTCCGTCAGCCTGTGGATGGGAGCAGTCATAGGCGTCCTATTGGGGAAGCAGTCAGCTCAACAGCCAGCTGCGTTGCCCAATGAGTCGAACTTTTTGAGTTACGGCAGTCTATTCAAAGGACCAAAAGATAGAAAGATAGAGGGCAACATGCGGAGGCTCGAATCAAGTCGCGGAAGTGGTAGCCGGGGTGTGAATGCAGCTGTGTGCTACAAGTTGCTGTCAACCGAGCCCAATGAGCAGTTTGCAACTCCAAACTCATGCGAATGCTCAGGGTGGTTTCAACTCCAGCACATGTACCAGCATCTTGGATGCAAAGGCCTCAGTTGCTTCTGCATTGGCGTTTGACCACTTGTTAGATGCCTTATGGTCAGAAGTTCATGCGTTTGTGTCCTGCAGGATCTGCCAGCTCCTATGACCTTTGATTGCACTACCGGTGTTTGCCTGTCAAAAGATGAGCCTCCGCCACCAGAGGCGCAGCGTTCAAGAGCACTCATAGTGCATGGGCCATGAGCCGACAGGTGACGGTAGCCAGACGTTCCGTGGACCTGTTTGGTCAGTGGACCACGGTGGCCATTCTGGCTGTGTTCCTTGTGTTCATCGCCTCATTGCCGGCAGCCCAAGACGGCTTGTGCGCGCTGTGGCTGGCGGTTCATCAACTGAGGTTGGTGCTGGTGGCGATCGCAGTTTCTACGCTTTGTGCCAGGAGGCCTCCGAAGACTGTATACGGCTTGCCTCGCAGAGCTGTTTTTTGGCAGGCGAAAGAAGAGAGCTGCAATGGATATGCCCGGAGCGCCGTTGGCTGCCATTGCTGCCGCACAAGCCGCGCTAGGAGGCCATTGCATGCATGCTGCCAACCTGTGTTCCTGCCTGCCTTGCTTCGAGTTTTGCGAGCGCAACATGGAAGCCAGACGGAAGGGATGCCCTCGCCAAAAGTCTCTTGTTGCTTCGTCTCTTTGCAGGCTTCGGAAGTAATCCTCCAGGCTGCTTGCATTTCAGCATATGTGTTTCCTTCTGTCTATGATTGTGGAAGGTGCAACGCTTGTCTTCAGCTGGCGAAACGTGAACTGCATGCGGAATGGCAAGCAGGTGCGGTCCCTTTCCGGCTCTTGGAAGAGATGCTTGCTTGCCATACTGAAGGTGCTCAACGACGTCTCTGGAGCGATTGAGGCAGTGACGTTCCATTCCCATGATCTGACTTGCACCCTGATGCTTTGTCCAAGTACTTCCGACATGAGATTGGTGCCTTGCAGTCCTCCTCTTCTGGCCGGGGCTCGCTGGTGATGCTTCTGGGACCGTCCGGCAGCGGGAAAACAACCTTGCTTCAGGCCTTCAAAATGTTTTCCGAATTCTTGGCTCTTTCCATCCGGCAGGCCCTGGCAGGCCGCATGTCTTCCAGCGATTCTGGCACCATTTGCATCAACGGCAAGGCTCCAAACGCAAGTCCCAAGTTCAGACAGGCATTGCATGCACGTCATGATTTTCGTGTCGCACTGCACAATTGCCAGCTTCACTGCTTCACAGGTGATGTCTCCCGCCGAAAGGTGCCGTCACGTCTCCCTTGTGTACCAGGATCTCTGTTTGATGTTGTGTTTTTTCGTTTTCCTTTGCTTGCTGAGCCTTGTGAGGATGAAATCCTGGGTGCCACCCTGACTGTCCGTGAGGCTTGGGGTTCGCAAGGGTCATTGACGCCCTCGCCCAATGAGTGCAGGCTCTGGAGTTCTCGGCCGCCCTTCGCTTGCGGGCCCTTTCTGCAGCAGTCCTGGTGGGTCCCAAAGCGGCATACTCTCGGGCTGTCTTTTTGTTGAGGCCTCTCAAAGAGCAGGCAGAGTTACCTGGGCGTTGAAAATGTTGAAGCTGGAGGCCATGACGGGTCTTGCACTCAGCTTGGGCTCACCAGTGTACGTGCAGGCAGTCGCAGATTCCAGAATTGGAGACACTTTGCGACGTGGTGTGTCTGGCGGCGAACGCCGCCGAGTGGCAATAGGCCCAAAGCACTGTTCTATGATTCTATGCCCTTTGGGTTGACACGTGCAATCCCCCTATTCTGCCTCTTTGATCAAAGCTTGCTGAATCCGGCATGGCATTAAACGGCTAATTATCACGCAGGTGTTGAGCTAGTGGTCTCGCCGCCCATCATGGTGCTTGACGATTCCTGGCTGACTGTTTAGGGGAGCATGGGTGTCTCATGACCAATTCAAGCGAGCAGAAAGCCTGGCAGTTTTGCATGAGGAGCCAACCACCGGACTTGATGCTAGCTGTGCGCTGATGCTTGGGCGTGTCTTGGCCAGACTCGCCAAGGCGCAACCTCAATTAATTTGTTTATGTGGACGGATTCCTTCACGGCACCATTCTTGGCCCTTGGTCTGGGAATGTTTGGTGTGCTTTCAATCCTCTGGGTATTGCCAGGGTGGCCGGCTGCTGATTTGCAGCATGCACCAGCCCCGCCATGAGTTGCTGAAGCTCTTTGATGCCAGGCGAGTGAGACATTCGGATTCCCAGGTGTTGTGCTAATCCGTGCCAATGGACAGGTTGGAATTGGGAAAATGTGGCGATGAAGCCCAGCAGCTCTGTCAAGCCACCAGCTTCCTGTCAGAGGAGCCGCAAAAATCCGAACTGGGCCATTGCAGATGTTGCAACTTGAAGCACTGCAACATGGCAAGGACGAAGCTGTGAATGAAAGGCTGGCAATGCATCAAACATATCTTGAAGCACTGCGCCATGCGATGCACCCAGGAAGCCGTCTAACCCCACAGAGAACTCAGACTGCGGTCTCTCCGACCCTGCCCTGGCTGAGATCACCAGAGCTATGAGTAGGTGCGGAGATCAGTTGTTGGCACCAGTTTTTTCCCACTCATTTGCCGCGCGTGCCCTCTGGATGCCGGACAGGCACACAAATTCTAGCAATCGGGTGCTGTGTTCCGTTGGTCATGACAACATGAAGCGTGCCTTGGCCTGGCACTCAGCGCTGTTGGACTGCTGGACGGATGGAGTCCAGGATTCTTGCAGAGCCTTTGAACCGAGTCAATAGCCAGTCGAGCAACAGCTGGAGTTGCACCTGCCAACATGGCATTGCAGGCAGGAGTCGACAATTTCTTCTGTGTCAGTCTGCTATGGCTTGCTGTGTTCTCATGATTGACTCATTGACATTTGCATCACAGTATCGCATTCGCAGGTGTTTGCTTTGTGGGAGCGCAGCGCCCGCGAGGCCTGCCACATGTAAGAGGTCGCAGCTGACAGATGGGTGATGGGTGTATGTTGTTGCAGTCAATCAACTTCATGGTGAGTTGTTCTCTTGTGCGATGATGCCTTGAAGCGGAACTAGCAACTGCACCCTCAAATGTTCCGTTCAACAGTAATTTGAAAACTGTTGCGGAAGGCAACACGCGGAAGCTATGGTGGTTTGGTTGCAGCTGTTGTGGTAGCTGCAATTGCGGTGCTGGTGCCGGCCTTGGAAGCCATGGCTTGTGGGGTCGAGCGCATTCAAGCTGAGGTTGGATTGACCTTCAGCGATCTAGAACATGGTCGATCCCTCAAGTGTAACGCCTATGTCGAAGTTCTGCAGAGTGCCCGAACATATCAAGGCGTTGCCGGAGTTCAGAATCGTTTCGGCTCTATCTTCTTTACGCAGCTTTTCTTCAGCTTCTTCGGTCTCCAGGCCAATTTGTACTACACGCGGCTGATCATCCAACCTTGCCTAGTACAAGAAGCTTTAGTGTTTTCAGCCCCAATGGCATACGTAACTGCTGGAATGCCAAGCAAGGCTTCACTCTGATTTCTTCCTGAGAGACTGGAAGCAGTGCTCGTTTTTGATGACATGTTCTGACGCCAGGCCTGCACTCTTTGGTATCTTGATCGTGACCGGCTGGACAGGGAGAGGGCGTCCAGACTCTACCATGTCTGCCTCTCAGCGGGCTACACCAGCAAACATTCGTTACGTGCTATCAGGGCTGGCCATCAATCGTTTGATAGGCATTTGAACAACCATCATTAAAGTTGGGCTTAAGAGAACCACAAGCATTTGTCCACAAGAGGAGCTTGAACCATGGCTCGAACATTTGCTTTGTATTGCTCTATTGTGCGTCATGTTGTTTCTTCTTTGCATTTTTCTGGGCTGTGCCTTATTCAGGTCCTGGCCTACTTCATTGCCAAGGCCTGCGCGTACCTGTGGTGGCCACAGCCTGAGCATCCTTGACTCCAAGGCATTTTGCACGGCATCAAATGTGCTTGTAGTCTGCTGGCCCTTCGAGCGAGGTACTGCCTCATCGTTCCAGCAATTTATGCTACGCGCTTGTGGTCTCAGATGCAGAGTTTGGAGAGTGAACGAATTGCCTGCCGAGGTGGCCATTGTATATCCTCTCATCGGCTTCCAGGTTCGATTTTGAGGCACAGGAGGCATCATCCAAGCACTACATGCATTGGTGAGGCAAGCATTTCGAAATTCATGGTCTTCTATTTGTGCACAGCTGGCACAACTGCCGCTGCAAGTGCTGTGAGTAGAGAGCTCAGGATGCTTGACATGAACGGGACATGCAACGAATAAGTAAATTGAATAGGATGTTATGTCACCGACCCTCGCAGGTTTACTTTGCCTGTCGATGAGTAGCTCCTTTGCGTCCGGGATGTCTTCAGCAGCTATCTGTCTTACAGCTTGGCTCCCAGAGTGCGTGGCAAAGCGGACGGAATGGAAGTGATGCTTTTGATAGGTGCTGCAGATGTATGCGGGTTTCCTGCAACGCCGTGACGCCATTCCTTCTGCCTTCAGGCCTTGTCTTCTCAGGTTTGAACCTTATGGCGTGATCCATCATTCCTGGTCTGGCAGGTGGATCACAGATGTTTCGCCTTTTGCGCATGCCTTTGCTGCTATGATCTCCAGCGAATTCACTGGCTTGGAAACGACCGTGGAAGCTACAGGCCTGGCTGCTTCAGGGCTCGAAATCTTTAGCTGTGTGTTGTGTGGGCGAACATATTCATGTCTCTTTCTTTCTGTCAGTGGATGTAGTCAGTCCAGATGGCATTGAAATCAGTTGACTTCACGTGTACGATGGCATGTGCCATGGCACCACGAGGGAATGGCTTCAGATATTTGCATTTAGTGATTGCGAGGGCATGAAGCTGTCACAATTGATGGTGGCGAGCGGATCTCAGCTAAAGTCTGATCACGTTGTGCATCTGCTTCTTTGTCCGTACTTGCTTTGACTGAGATTTGGCCGCAACAATTCAATGTGGATCCATCCAACATGGAGCACAGCATTCAAATGCTGGGCATTGTTGCTTGCAGCGCATGGCTGCTTGCACTGGTGCCCATATGGATGAGATGGTGCGCCAGCTGATTGTGTCAGGCATGTATCACTGATCTCACTGCAAGGTACCGTGTGAAGCAGTACAACTGCTGCTTTAGATATTGTAGACCAACAGCTGGCAATTTGGCCGTCGCCCGAAGCAAGGCCATGCCCTCGGGTTTGGGGATTTTTCGTTCTCTGGTCATGCTGCCGTGAGGTCACGGAAGCACCGTCCTGGGTCAGCGCCAGGATGAAGGCACCGCTTCGCAGATTTCGATTGGTCCAAAATTTCTTGGTTCAGGGCTCAGCAGCGCTGGTCTGGAAGGCGTGGAGGGGCGAGCGCAAAACTGGGGCAGATGCCAGAAGGCTGAACAGGGAGGAAAATGGATGCGACAGAGCAAAGGAACAATGGGGCCAATTGCGAAGTGTCGTAGTATCACGAGCTGCATGTTTCGGTTGAGTCAGCTGAGGACCTTCGGGCAACGCTCCCAAATGGCTCCCAGCTTTACGACGGGTTGGGTCCTCAAAGGCGCGCAACCAACACAGTGCGCAACCGCTGGTATTTGCAGGATGAATGGGTGTGTGCAGATGGGAAGGCGCTGCTTGCATATATTTCGAGCTTGGGCAGCACATGTTTGCTCCGCGATTTGCTAGGCCTCTTGCAGTGCTCGGCCCCTCTGGCTGTGGGAAGACAACGTTGTTGTCTTGCTTGGCCGGGGAGGCAGGGCCTGCAAGCTTTGGAGGGCATTTGCATCCCCGAGCAATATGAGCGCTAGGAAACTGGCACCACCTGCGTGGGCACTGTCTACTTGAACAGGCATAGCTGTCGGGCTACACTGTAGTGACTGTAGTGGCATGGCGAGTTGCACAATGCACTGGACTTCATTGATGGAAGCTTCGCCATACGCATGCTAGGCAGTATATAGATAGGAGCAAGCTCAGACACACAGCCTTGGGCTTAGAGTCAGTCTCTATCCAAAGGCAATTGAAATCGGAATTTCAAGATCTTGGAATCGCGGCAAGGTCGGGTATGTTCGACAAGACGACGCCCTGCATCCGGAGCTTACAGTTCGCGAGGCTGATGACACAGATGGGCTGAGCGAGAGAGCGAGGGGGTGTGAGAGAGCGAGCGAGAAATGCCGGAAGCAGAAACTCCAGGCAGACCCTGACAAAGGCGCTCTGTGGGGCATATGTGCACCAACGCACACGCAGACACACAGATATGCAGAGACAGAGAGAAACGGAGAGACGCAACATACATGCAGAGACACATTGAGGCAGAAAGAGACATATGAAGACATAGACCCACAGAGGCGCACGCACACGAAGCGACAGAGAGGCACACGCACACACGGATGCTACGCTTGTAGCATCGACCGTGCACCCTTGCTGAAGAAGCAGGTCGTTGTATGTCATGGCTGCAAGGCCAAACAGACGGATGAAGCCAAATGAAAGGCCTTTCGAAGAGTTTTGGTTTGAGGTATCCTGTGATCCTTTTGCTGCTTCATGAAAGCAAGCAGCTCACTCTCAAGCACTAGCAAGAAGCCAAAACATGTGCAAAACTATTTGCTTTGGCAACTTTGGGATGGGCAGGCGATATCATTCGCAGCATACCCAGCGCTCTGAGACACTTTGTCGACTTTCTAGGTGTGAAGTCTTTGTGTTTGTCTGGACTTTGAGGCAGTGGCTCTGAGAATGCCATACGCAAGCCGAAGCGTTCGACGCGAGCCTGCGACCTACGAAGACTCCAGACCTATTTCTCTCATGTCTCTCATGTCTCAGGCGTGTTTCCTGGGCGATCACCCGGCTCGGGCTCGAGGCGGGCGAAAGAGTTTCAACGGCGTGTTACATGTGCTGGCGCACAGGCTGTGGCAAACTCAAAAGTGGGCGGTCACAAGTTTCGCGGTATTTCCGGTGGTGAGCGTCGGCGGACAGCGGTTGGAGTGGCTTGGCTTGCAAGTTATCCAACTATGGGAAGAAATGCTTGCAGCACTCCCTGTGTTCAAGGTGGAGCTGGCAGTTGCTCGCGGTGTACTCGCGCTGGATGAGCCCACCAGTGGTGCGCTGCCGATTCTTTGTGGCGACAGTTTACTAGATGTATTGCAATCGTTGAGCAATTGAAGCGGCGCAGCAGCTTCTCTCTTTGCAAAGCATTCGGCAGGCCTCGACAGCGATAGCGCACTGGATTTGGGGCGGCTGCTGTCAGAGCTGGCAAGTGAAGGCCGTAGCGGGGCCTTGGTTTTAGATTCAGTCAGTATGTATTGACGATGCGGGGTTCGACATTTGGTCGTGTTTTTCAGGCTCACGAAAAGAGGACATAGTTTAAGTGTGTGTGTGTGTGTGCGCGTGTGTGTGCGCGCGCGTGTGTGCATGTTGGTGTGAGAGTTCCAGTGTGGGGTGTTGCCTATCCCTGCGTGGTGTGTGTGCATTGGCTACACAGACGAACCTACTGTTGACAGCCTTTATCGATAGCATGTTGGCACTTTCTGCGCGGAGTCAAGCATGAAACCTGGCCTTGTACAGATGGAAATTGCTGAGACTCATGTTGGGATTTGGCGAGGCACACTGGAAGCTTTGGCTATCTGCAATGGATTGTGTGCGATGCGACCCCTTGCAGCTTTGTCGTCGCATGCAGCATGAGCGCTCACGTGCACACGCGCTTCTTGTACAAGAACTACATGGTCATCATTAGGTCATGGCTGGTTGGGACGACTGTGTGGAGCTTTGAGGGATTGTTTGCCAGATTTACTTTTTGGAATGCACTTGTCACTTCTGTTGCCAGAGTTTGACAGCAATGATCAACAAAGTTGACGCTGTCTCTGATGTTTCATCCAGCTTCTGCGCAGACGAACTTGGCTTGCATGCTCGCAAGATGATCTTGACCAGATCGATACAGGCTGCTGCTCAAGATATTGCACAGTCTGTTGGTGGTGGTCAAACAAAGGCTGTCTCCATCTTTGCATGCTGGGCTGTGAGTAAAGCCTCAGCAGCCATCAGATGGGGTTCAACTTGCTGCTTTGAATGGTACACAGCTGCCTGCACATGTCCCAGCAGGACATGTGACAATGCAAGGCAGCCCCTCTTCTGAGCACAGCTTGGCGTATGGAACTGCTTGTGATTTCTCGCTTCTTCGCTTGATCACTTGCTTTGCTTGCTTGCTTTGCTTTGCTTTGCTTTGCTTGCTTTGCTTGCTTTGCTTGCTTTGCTTTGCTTTGCTTTGCTTTGCTTTGCTTTGCTTGCTTTGCTTGCTTTGCTTTGCTTTGCTGGCTTTGCTTTGCTTGCTTGGCTTTGCTTGCTTTGCTTGCTTGGCTTTGCTTGCTTTGCTTTGCTTGCCTTGCGTTGCTTTGCTTTGCTTGCTTTGCTTTGTTTGCTTTTCTTTGCTTGCTTGCTTGGCGGATATGGCCTGGAGTTTGGATTCATGATTGGTCATCATATTCGGTTGTGTCTCGCTCCAGTTTCACACGATGTTGGGGAAGTCTGCTTCGAGTGTGTGTCTTTGATTCATCTTGGCAGGTTGCATCGTGTTGGCTTCAATGCACCAGCCCTCACCAGAACTGTTGGTGAGCTACCCAGAAGACTTTGTATTGGCAAGCCTTATAGCATTACCTCCCAGCCTCCCAGGCAGTCTTTTCTCAGACGCTGGTTCTTGCTGCACATGGTCAAGCCGGATTCTCAGAAAGCTCTGGCTTGCAGCTTTATTTTCAGATGGCGAGGTGGCGTATTACGGTCCAACGCAGTCTTTGCAGTCTTACGTGGACAGAGTGCGCCGCGGGCTTTGCCAACAAATGAGTCAACATTGAGTTGAAGTGATTGATCATGTGTTGCATGCAGCACTGATGATGTGCTAACCATGATATTCCGCATGTCTTCCATTGAGACGCCATGGAGTGGACTTTGCAAATGCATTGCCTAGCAAGTCACTCTGACAGGCTGCTTCTTTTCGCGCGCTTAAGAGCTAAAGCCTCCAAGCGGACGCACCAGGTGTCAAAGACTAAGGGCATAAGCTTAACGGAAGCAATGTTGTAAGCATTTGAGCATGACTGTGGATGGCCTCACAGAAGGTGCGAGCGTGCAAGATTCTTTTATGACCGAGGTGAAATCCATCCTGAGCATATGATTGGCTCTGCGTCGGACTGGTTGACAGCTATGTCATCACAGATTTGCATGCATGCAAACGTAAGCTACCTGATGCAGGGATGAATAAAGCGTTTCTCAGGGTTGTTTGCTTCAAAGAGGTTCCCCATATCCGCACTCCTGTGTCGCCGATGTTGACTGAAGATGATTGTCCATCCTCGCAGGACGTGCTACTGGACATCATTTCCAGCTGCCTAGCTGCACTAAGCGCGATCGTCAAGGCAGAAGTTGCCCTCTTGTTTGCTTGTTGAATGCTTCAAAACAAGCAACTGAGCCATGAAAAGCAGCGAACTGTCAATGGCTGGGGTCGGGCAACATGTCAAGGTCTGAGCAAATCACGACAAGCCAACATGCAAGTGTTTGATACGCCTTTCAAAGAAACATTGGAGCGTTGTGAGGAAAGCTAGTGGCAACCTGCTGTGAGGTCCTCAGGGATACGAAGTGTGTACCAGGTTCAGGCGGTCTCCACCTCAGCTGCTCATGAAACTAGGCGGGAGCACAGCTTGGGTGCAATGGTCAGCTGGTACTCAGTTGAGTGGTGTTTGATTTTTTCTGCTCAGGCAAACATGTATAGATGTTGACATAATATGCCGCACTACAGCCGCGGAAGGTTTGTTTGATTGCGCATAGTAGCTTGATTTCGTTTGGGTGACCCGTGCACACGAATTCCCCCACCTGAAGCTACCTTCCTCAGTTTCCAGAAGCAACTTGCTCACGGAGGCCTGTGGAAGCACTTATATAAACTTATATAGACACATGCTTGCGGAAGGTACCCTTCACACAGCCGAAGCTTCGCGGAAGGTTTCGTCGAAGGGTTTGATACGTCAATGCAGTTTTTGAAACGAATAAACGCCACCACTCAGTTGGCAGAAGTCATGATCGATGCTGAGGTCGCCAGACATGCAGGCAATGCAAAAGACCATCGATGCTGCCACGATCCCAAGCGGACTTCAGTGTTTAGCAAAGCGTTTTGGAGCTCATGTTGATGCTTCTTCTGAAACTCGTTGCAGAGTTGCATGCGTTGTAGGTCAAACTTTCCGGTAGTCTATGGCCGATTTGGGAGGGACATGGGGCTCACTAAATTTGCGGCAAAATGGGGACACTTAGTCTTCTTGGCGGAAGAAATTATTACTGGACCATGACTGACAGGGTTAGGGCTGAGGACGTCACTTTGGCGTTCGCGCAGACTGGCTACTGTACACTCTGCAGCTTTTTTTTTAATATAGAAGGCATAACGTTGCAGCCCAGGTTTTGTCCTCAACTTCCGAAGACGAAAGAGAGGCAAATGTAGTGACTGCTTGGGATGGCTTGCGGCAGAAGCAAGCTCTGTGCGTGCGCATGCGCTCGATGTGAACACAGAAGTCTTGAGCCATGCCAACAGGTCAAAGCAGCGACCACACCTCCCGTGCACGTGCAGATGCCACCGCCTTGATGCCTTTGGAATGACGCAGAGCCTCCCGCAGGTATCAAATCAGCTTTGCTTGCGGGTATGCATTGTTCTGAAGCCACGACCTGCAGGTTTCAGCTGCTGCTGCGGGAAGTTCGAATTCAAAGGACGGCATGGCAATCGTCCCACTGCAGTCCCTTGGGCTTGTGCGGAAGAGCTTCTTCAGGAGTCTTGCTATCTACACCTACTTCGAGGTTCAGCTTAAGCGCTGCCCAATTCGTACGCCTTGATGTCTTGGCTGTGTCAGGCTGCTTTGGCCGGCCTTCTGTTGGGTGCGACATACTACCAGATGTCCATGAGATTGGCTGGTGTGATCAGGCTTTCTTCCTCAGATTTCCATATCAATGTATTCCTTGCACATGTCTTGTTGGTCTCTTTGCGCCTCGTGCGGAACGCTCAGTCGGCTTGGCCTCATTTTTGCGGTGCACTGCACACTGGGAATGCAGGCGTGACTGGGTCCGCTCAGAGAGCGTGAGGGACAAGACTTAACACGACTTCACAACACTCTTCACTGAGCAGCGAAGCTGGGATTCCATCACAATACCACCAGGATGATGCGTCCGAGAGAATGGTGCGGCGACGCCAAATAAATTTGACCACCATGACAACCCAAATGTCCCAGACTCACTTCATCGCAAGGTGATACATCAATCCGAAAGAATCAGAACACACAATTTTCTAGCGCAAGAACCATTGCTATGCTACAGGGTGGGCTACTTTTCCAAAGGTAACAAGGAGCATAGTGTGAACCCGCAGCCAGGCCTTGCAGGGATTGCTGGCCTGGCGCGAAGGCTACACAAGCTTCAAGCGAGAAAGGGCCGCAGGACGCCCATAGCCGGAATAAGTGGCAAAGAAATTAGTGACCGTGTCCAGCAAATGTGCAGGATACTACTACACGGGCACCTATGTTTTTGCCAAGGCTGGACTCCCCATCCGCGGCATCTAACCTTTTTTGGTTTGACTGACGTTGCGGGCAAGCCGCTGGTGCAGGTCTTTGTGGATGCACTGCTCCTTCGGGTCGGAGCCCTTCTTGAGATAAGGTGGATAGTGCAGGTTAGATGCGGCTAATTAGATCTATGATGTCTTATTTTGTCTGAACTACTTGAATGCGAAAGCCTGCTTCTCAGGCTGGACCACCGGCTCTCATGTGCTCGGGGCTCACGCTGCATGACTAAGCTGGATGATGTAGTCTAGAACATTCACCTGTCAGCACCTGCTCAAATGCTTGTGTGACCACAGTGAGTGAGCTTTGTATGCAATGCGCACAAGCTTGCATTGGGCTGGAAGGCCTTTTCGTGTATTGGCTGGCTGGCATGCAGCCAGGGAGGGAGGCAGCATCATTTTGCATGCCCAGACTTGCATGTGCAGTTGGGAGCAGGCAGTGTGCGTCCTGGGCTTTTGCTTGGCATCCTTTGTCGGAATCCCAGCCGAGCCCGGGATGGGCAGCTTGACCCTCACTTGAGCAACGCTTTTCCAGGTGGCCTCCACTTTCTGTCCTGGCCTTGGCAACGCTCACAATTGTAGTTTGTAAGTCTTTGTGAAGGCTGCGAAGCCATGCAGGACGAACAACGCGTGTGTACATGTATGTGCGCATGCATGTAAGCTTTGCTTTGCAATGCATGTATGATATGGAACGGACTGCAGCGCAATGCATGTCAATGGAGAGTAAGAAAAGTGTCATGCAATTCCCCGAAATGCAGCGCAACGCAAAGCAATGGGATGCCATGCTGTCCTCCGTGACCAGAAGATGTCCTTAGCCGTGTTTGAGCGTAAAACGTTTGGAGTTGAGGCACGAATTTGCCAGATTTCGGCCCCCGCACAACTGGCAAAGTTCTCTCTACCAACTTCCCGGACTGGCTCTTCCAAATTCATCAAGGCCCACTGTCTCCCACCACTCAGTAGCAGAGGCTGGGATAATGATTGGACGTCGGTGGCTCTGCTCAGGCCAGTGCTGGCAAAGGGATTGCAGGGGAGACTGTCCAAACAAAGAGGGTGGGCGACGTAAAGCAGCAAGCCATCGCCATGGTGTTTGCGCCCAACGCCTCAGCCAGTTCGGGCAACACGGGCTGGAGGAAGATGCTCACTTGCCAGTGCTTCAACATTGGCTTTCTCTCAATCACACGCTTCAACCCGTAGCCAACGAGCTAACGCAGTAGGATCACACAGTGAAGCCTGTGCCAATAACACGCAGTGGCAGAACATTGTTTGGTCCTCTAACTTGCTTGGCCCTACTCTCTTTGCGTGCAAAGCCAACCCACGAACAATACATCTGCTTCAGAATCGCCGTGGCAACCTAAATAGCTATGCTGAGAGGAGTGTTTTCAGGTTTGGCATTGGGCGCCACAGCCCCGAGATCCGGAGCTGCCCCGCTTCCGTGTTTATGACAAGTGAGAATTCTTCACCATGCACCTCCGACCTTGTCGTGGCAGGTTCTGCCCGTAGCAGTGCTGATGATCCTCCTTTTTTTGCTGGCACGCGATTTTACTGCATTTGATGACACAACTGCTTTGCTGGTAGGTGGGTGGGCCACTTCTGGCAACCCAGAATAATGCCAGCGCCCTCAGAGGGTGCCTCTGCTATGGCAAGTTGGCTGTTTTGCTCAGGGCATCAGAAATCTATCAATCTTCCGGGCTTCCTTCAACATGCTCGCCGCGAACGAGATGCGGGGGACGGTCTTTGCGCTGCGGCCTCAGACACTTATGTCTTTTCTTTTTCATAAGAAAGTCGAGCTGCACGTCATTCTCATGTTGCCAACCGCTTTCCACGTCTGGAGTATGTAGCCAAGGTTTGATCCTGAAGGCATTGTCACAACACTCGGCAGCAGAACCGGAGAGGAGACCTTGGGCAGCTTTGCTTGCGTGCATTGATTGCACGACCTTTTCTGGCAGGACTGGATGTTTGACCTTGGAGTCAAGGATAACCCCGTTCACATGGAAATTGGTTTTGGGCTGAGGTTTCACTCAAAGCATAACATCCTGTACAGACTTTATGTTCCCCGTACAAAGATGCCGCGCTTGTGCGCAGACTGAGCACTCAGGCTGGTTGCTTGGCTGGTCTTTCTTCTACATTCTCTGTGCATGGATTGTGCTAGCGCTGCCAGCGGTATGCTCCCTAGAAGCTGTGGAAGCAGTGGCTGCCACATGCCTACCAAGCAAGCACATTGCCAATTGCTGTGTTGTTTTGCATAGACCATATTGCAGCAGCCGTTGGAGTTGTGGATTGCTTGCCTTCCTTGTGGCGAATTTGCTTCGAGGTTCGCTTGCCATCATTTTCCGCTTCAACAAACTTTGCATCTCATCTTGAGAATGAGCAACTGGGTGCGATATGTGATATAATGTGCTTCACTGATGCTCTGCGCTTAGGCGAAGTCTGTCAGTTGCGAGGAGTCGGATAAGTTTGCACCAGGAGTCTCTTGCAGTTTGAGTCACGCGTTGCATTTGGAGAGGAAGTGCCTTTGCGCGCAGGACGACGTCCCAGCATAGCAAGTGAGTGACCCCTCTCCAAAGGAGAAATTGGCAGTCGGGGTCTGCCGAAAGTTGATCGGTGCAGGTGCAATTCATTGATTTGAATTTGTCCTCAGATTCCAGCTCCAGGCAAAGTCTTAACGAACCGCCTCGAGCATTAGATACACTTAGCTAGTGCATTTTTCGCCCACTCGGGCACCTCTTCGGGTGACACGCTCACAGTGGCATAACAGCGCTTTCGTGGCATGGTTCACTTGGCGACGAAGCAAAAGCTCAGAGCCTGTTATTCCATGGTGCCGCGGACTATCTATCATCCTACTCCCGAATGGGAGAGGGCTTGCTCTGCCAATGCGATGGAAACGTATGCCTCGGATGCTGGCACCGCAGAGCCCAAGCCGAGTTTGGGCAAGACTGAAGGCTGAGCTAGTCTTCCAGTAACGGAAAAGCTGCAAGTGACCTGTGCTTGCCAATAGCCATGAATGATGCATCAATACAAGAGGCTCTTTCCAGGATGGCCCAAACGTGTTGTACAGTGCAATGTTGAAAACAATATCTTCCGCGTCTTTCTGGCAGCCTGTGCTTGCAGCTGCAGCCGGAGTTGCTTTCGGCGTACTATTGGAGAAGTCTCGTCGGCGGCGCACAACTGCGAGCAGCTCCAGCGACGTGGTCAGGTCAGGCATCGATGTTGTGGTTGACAAGGAGCAGCTCGAAGAACTCGTTGCCTCCTGTTTGAGAAGTGCGGGCACACCTCCCGAGAAGGCAAAGCTAGTTGCCAGAGTCCTGGTTGCTGCTGACTGTCGAGGAATACCTTCACATGGGGTGAATCGGGCAGAGATGTACTGTGGCGAACTGAAAGCCGGGCTGATCGATCCCACTGCGGAGCCCACGATTTCGTCAGATTCCAAGGCTGTTGCAAATGTGGATGGCAACAATGGCTTGGGAGCAGTGGTTTCTCAGTACGCAATGCAACTCTGCATACAAAAAGCCAAAACCAATGGAATTGGCCTAGTTGTTTGTCACAACAGCAATCATTTTGGCATTGCTGGATTCTGGTCTGAGCTGGCATTGAGGGAAGGACTCATTGGTTTTGCCTTTACCAACACCAGCCCATTTCTTGTCCCAACTCGAGCCTGTTCGCGTGCGGGAGGGACGAATCCAATTGCGTGCTACTGCCCCGGCGACGGAGACAGCTTTCAGCTAGACATGGCAACCACGACGGTGCCGGTTGGAAAGGTTGAAGTTTGCCATCGGAAGGGGCAGCAGATGCCACATGGATGGGGGGTTGACACTGGAGGGGCAAGCACCACAAAGCCTAAGGATGTTTTGATGGGAGGTGGGTTGACTCCTTTAGGAGGCTTGGAGGAGACGGCAGGGTACAAAGGCTATGGCCTCAATATGATGATGGAGATCCTGTGCGGTGTCCTGAGTGGCTGCACGAAGGTGGGCCCAGCAGTGCCTCCATGGCGATTGGACCGTGGCGTGGCGGTGGACTACGGGCACTGCTTCATGTGCATCGACCCTCAGCAGCTGCTCCCGTCGGGGAACTTCCAGCAGTCGCTGTCCGCGTACCTCCGGGCGATGCGGAGCCTGCCGTCGACTGCGAGCTCCGTGCTGGTGCCCGGGGACCCCGAGAAGGCCCAGGAGGCCTCGTCCGAGTCGGGCGTGCGGCTGAACCGCCACGTGGCCCTGGGCCTGCGGAGCCTGGCGCGGACCCTGGGCTGCGCAGTCCCCGGGGCGCTGCGAGACCTGCCCGAGGACGAGGTGCCTTTGTGTCCCCACGTGTGAGAAAAACAACAAGGTGTGCTTCGCAAGCAAGAGAAAACACAAGGAGAAACGAAGACTCAGGCGGGGCCCCTTTTGAGTCACCAGCCCTTGTCTGGGTGCGCGTACATCGGCCTCTTTGCTCAAGTCACGCATCGGTAGCGTACTAATTCGGATATTTGCAAGATCTGCTTTACGGGGTGTCAAATGTAGATGAGCAATGAAATCATGTTCATGTTTCATTGAGTGCAAACCATCGCAGGCAGTAGGCACCCTGCGCAGCCAACAATCCAACAATTGCACGGGGCATGCCCGCAATGTCGCGCCTCTGCCGCATCCTATTTTTGATATACTGGAGTTCCAATGCAGAAGCATTGGATGGGAGCGATCTGGTTGAAGCCAGCTTGAATGCAGAGGAGAGGGCAGCTCAAGCATCTAATATTTTTGTTTTGTGTTGTTTGCTTTCGTTCTTTGATTCATCATTTCTTGCTTTGTCGTTCTCCGTTTTGTCGTTCTTCTCTCTCGTCGTATCTTCTCTTATCTTCGCTTCCTCTTGCTCTTCCCTCCTCCTCCTCTCCCTCGCCTCTCGTCTCTTCTCTCCTCTCCTCGCCTCGCCGCTCCTCTCCTCTCCCCTCCTCTCCCCTCCCCTCCTCTCCTCTCCTTGGTTGGCCTATGTCACCTCATTTGCAGGTAAGCACTTGGCTAGGTAAAGCCATAGCCACATCCTTCAACAGTCGATCATGGACCACAGCCATAAGCTTTGATATTCAACCATAGGCTATACCAAGAAGTCTAGAGCCAAGTCCAAGGTGCCGTGCTTGCATCTCAAAATGCCTTGTGTTTGCGCTTGATCCATTTGCTTGCTACTTCTTCCGAACTGTTTCTCCCAATATGTGATCGGTCCAAAGAAGTTGCATGCCTTGAGATGACTGGAACTAGGAAACAGAGTTTGATTGCGCGGCCTTTTCGCCAAGAATCAGTGTCGAGTCTTGACCTGTGATTCCGAGCACACACCCGCATCAGCGCGGAGCAGTCTGCCACCAATCCCAATCCCTAAAGCTCTGAACAGGCATCAATTGTTTGCTTGACGGTCATGGGTTGCAATGAGCTAGTCCCCCTGTTCTAGCCAGCAAGATGGATATCCTTTCGGAGATTCAAATTGGTTTCAGGAGAACTGTGATGCAACTGCATCGCCTTGGACATCCTGGTTGCAGCGCACAGCAAAGCGCAAAAGTCAGCCCTTGGCCGAGAATGTTCAAAGTTTAGACGTTGCATCGACTTGCCTAGATTGATGGCTTCCGTTGCCTTGGACTCCACCGAGCTGAGGAGCGGAGAATCTGCCACGCAGTCGGCACACATCAACGCGTCCAGTGATTTCTATTGTGATTCCCACACAGGGGGCAGCTGCAGATTTTGGTCTTGCTCTGAGTCAAGGGGCCCTACTATGTGTCGGTCAAACGAGTGCCGGTGCAAGCCTGGATATTGTGCCAGAGATGGCGCTTGCACAAAGCGCACGGCCCATATTGCCGATACATGCAATCGGCAAACTGGGGGAAGTTGCTCTGTATTTGGCTGCTACTCCTACCGGGGTCCCGTGCAATGTGCAGACGGCGCTTGTGTTTGCAAAGCAGGGTATTGCACCGCGGATGATGGCACCTGCCACCAGCCAAAGCCGCCAATCAGCGCGAGAGTTGCGCCAGTGCATTTTGATGCTCCTCAGTTTCCTGGGCCCCAGGCGGGTTGGGAAGCAATCCAGACTTGGCCCAGAAAGTCGAACCTTCCCCCTAGCTCAGCACACCCAATATGCATATTATTTGGTCCAAGTTTGGCCCCTTTGAATCACAATCGTGCAACGTTGTACAAACTCAGTGCATGCCATGTTCGATCCTGAGGCAACTATTCGCACAGGTGTTTGCTTCAGTGGCGGCGGTTCGCGTGCATTATCATTCACATTGGGCGTTCTTCGGGCATTGGAAAGCTTGAAGCTCATTCCACATGTGGACGCCATTTCCAGCGTCTCTGGCGGTACCTGGGCGTCTGCTATCTACATGTTTGCCAAGGATGTCAGCGTTGAGGACAGACGGGCACAGATTTAGACTCTGACTGAGCCGCCGAACGCCCTAGGAGTTGCTGGGGGAGGACACACACCCCAACGTGCTGACCATGGCAAAGCTTAGAGAGGTTCCTGCCAGATTGGGCGTCCGCATCTTAGGGTTGTGAGGGTTCGCGTGTCCCGAGTTCAGATCAGCTTCAGGATGTGGCCACGACAAACATAGCGTCGAAGATCTCTTCCATGATGTTTGTGACCCCTCTGCAAGGAATGCGCTTAGACTGATTCGCTGTTGTGGCTGTCCAGACGTGCAGGTATCAAAGGGTTCTACAAACCCACATGATATGTGGATTAAATTGTATGCCGAAGCTGTGCTGAAGCCATTCGGCCTTGCCAATAGGCAGGGAATGCACCGTGAATCGGTCAGCACTATGTTGCCTTGAACTCTAGGAGCCAGTACATGGCGGCAAATGAAGAGAGTCTGCAAAGTATCCTTGAGCGGAATCCTGGCCTAACTCGCGAGCAGTTCATGGTGCGCATCCCAGACAGCATGGCAAATGCACTGCATAGTTCCGGTACGGCCCAGGTGCCCAACCCCTTGAGGCCAAAGACGTTCCTGCCTCACGTAGCATACCTGAGGCCCACACCGATCACAGACAGATGGGCCCAGGTTCATCATGGGCGGGACCATGCTGGCGCCTTTGGGCTTGTCTGCGACAGAGGACAGCGCCGTGCCGGGGACTTGGAGCCTCAGCAGTTGCGGGGTGGAACGCGCGAAGCGAGGTCACTGCAGATGTCACCTGACTTTACGGGCTCACCATTCTATCCAAAGGAGATATCTGAGATACCTGTTAGGAGAGGCCGCATTTGCCATTTGCAAAGGTGAACCACTTGCCAGGACAAACTGGTGACTTACGGTGGCGGAGACGGTCGAGAATTTTTGGTTGGCGGTGGCTTCGTGGCCGGCTGCCTAGCATTTGCCCCAAATATTTTCGGGGAAGCAGACCAAATTGAAGGATGTGTGAATATTTGCACATTTGTAGCATCATGACACTTGGTACATAACCCGGATTGCCGTCAGGCCACAGGGTTTTGGCAGTGATACGAAAATACGCGTAGCAGTTGCAGCCTCGCTTGATGTTGCCTTGAGTTCGGCATCAACATCGGTAGCGGAGCCGAAGATCAAGGTACTACCGGTGGTGGAGCTGGAGCCATGGTGAAGGGCGGAGGACGCATGTGGGCACCCTGCCCGAGCGACAGGAGACGGACGAGAACGACGCAGACCACACCAATGCTGATGTCATCCAGATGGGCAAGGCTACACAAGGAGAAGCCGATCCCTGGCAACGTGAACGACCCCAGGAACCTACAGCCTGCAAAGGTCGACTGCGCCAAAATCCTGGATGTGGATGGTTTGGACGTCGACGCGAACGAGGGCAGACCGCTTGGACGGAACGTTCCGAGCGGAGGCGCCAGGAGTCTAACTGGGCGAAAGGGAACGTGGCGGCCAATCGTATCTTGAATTGCCGGCTCGCGCACCAGGGCAAGAGCTACAGCAAGCGAGAGGCGGCTCCGGAGCAAGGGATGCGCTGCAAGCCGGAGGCGAGACTTTGTGTTGGTGGGCGCATGGGCCCGGACATTGGTCGGGTGGAGACGCAGTGTTGTTGCAGAAATCGCTGAGCGAGAAATGGGAAGTCTGCGCGGCTGACGCGCGGCCGCTTTTTTGAATGGAGCGGCGGCGGGCGCCTCTACTTCCACGCGTCTCCTCGACCCTTGCGCCTTTGAATTCCGGACGACGGGGCCTGAACGACCTGCTCCTGCTCACTGAGAAAAAACAACCAGGTGACTCGGGAAACGCTGAATGCGATTGTTCCCCATCAACAAGTGGAACTTCCGAGGCAGTCACTGGCAGGGCGCGATCGTTATTGGCAGGGCGCAGTCACTGGCAAGAACGCGGATGACGAGCTGGAGGTTGAAGGGGGGCTGAACGAAGGCGGACAACCGCACCCTCGTGGGCAGCTTGAGTCGAGCTCGCTGGCGCAACAGGCCCGGTTGGATCTTCAGACGGGCGCCGGACGCTCAGCGGCGCAAGAACGCACCCCGCATCAAGCGCTTGAGGAGCCCCAATTCGTGGACCAGGCCAGAAAATTCCAAGGCGAAGGCATCGCCCTGCGAAGTCCTGCAGAGCTGGGAAATCGAAGGATAAGGAGGGTGGGCCGGCGACTCCATTGACGTGGATGTGCAAAGCATGCAAGAAACCTGCAGGTCCACGTTTGCTGGCGAGACCATGGCCTGCAGGCCTCCGAGCGTGCGCCCGAGCTTCGGGGGCGCTGGATCCGCCGAGAAGAACATCCGCCTGCCGCTCCGCAGCCACACCCACCGAGCCGGAGCATTCAAGTGAAGCAACTGGCCGTCGACGTGGCCGGAGTGAGGCACATCCTCCAGCAGGATGCAACCTGAAGCGCCGACCCCGACCTTGCCGGTCCGGCTGCCTTTGCACTGGGTGCCAACGGAGTGGTGGATGAGCGACGTGCTCACGAAGCGGAAGTGCCCGAAGAAGTGGTGGGCGCTCACACCCCGTGGAAGTTCAATAAGAAGTGAAGGGCAAAGAATTCATCCACTTTGTAGCTGTGTGAATATATGCACACGCGTAGCATCGTGAACCCCGAGCCTTGAGTTCGCCATCAACAGGATGCAGGCAGATAGCCACATCGCAAAGAGCTAACCGCTGTTTTGGCTGAGGAATCCTTTGCCTTCGGCGGCTCTGCGCCACTGTCTGCTACGTTCTTAGGGCTTAGGGGTGGAGCGGGTGTACCTTCGAGATTGCCAAGGCAGACGGCCAAAGGGGCGGAGGGGATGTTCAGATGGAGGCGCGCATCGCTCAACTCACTTAACGTCAATTTTAGTCAAGTTTAGCACTTCCAGCTTCGGTACCCAGGCAGCTGTCAGACTTGGCTTCTTCACCCTTTTAAAACTAAGACCGACATCATGCCTCCTGAGAGCTACGCGTGCTTGCTCCTGCGCTTTTTGGTCGTCTGGCTTCCGCTTTGCTTGTTTTTTGTTCGAGCATCTCGGCTCGTTCGTGCGTGATGGCGCAAGCGTGTTTAGAGAGCATGAGCAAACTTACTACTAGCTGGGACTGGGTTATGAGAAGGCTAGAGTCCCTTTGCCCAATTTGATGCAGAAAAACTTGCTGTATGGTATCATCCCTGATTGAACTGATTTGTTTCAGACTCATGGGACTATGGGTAGAGCATGTCCATGGCTTTTGTTTCGCAGAGACGGTGTTCACGAGCATGGTTGTGATGGAAAGCTTGTGTGCACTCAAACAAGGTTGGACACACTGATCACACATGTGCACCTCTCCAGACCCTTGAGCATCAGCGGGAGTAGTGCCGCCTCCTGACGCCAGCATGATTTCAGCATGGATGGCAGCATCGCATTGGTCTTGCCAGGCGCCCCCTACGGCCTTCAGCTTGGCAGATGCCATTGGAATCAGCAGTGCAGCCTTTGCATCAGTACTGCTCTCCGTAGCTTGGCAGTGATAAAGCACGTACGCCATTCCAAGCATTGGATCCGAAGCATGACTTGAAGTGTTTGCCTGAGGTGCCTATTGCCGCCAAGTTATTTGGGTACCAGGCCCATGGTGTTAATGCGCGAGTATTTGTGGTGAAAGTTGGAGTCAGGCAGAAGAGTTCCTGCCCGTCAAGGATGTATGGCCGGTCACATCCAACAAGTTCCCAAATTGGAGGTCACATCCCTTGTCATCATGCATCGTGCATTCTCATTGGAGAGCTTAGGGCTTCCCTGAAATATCAGCTCGGCGTTCTGAGCTTGGGATGAGCAGTGTCAAGCTGTTTGTGCACGCATGTGACGTTGCAGTGATGCGTTCACACTGGCAAGCACGAGGATGGTGCTGAAGTTGACAACACTGGCATGCCGCCTGGTTGCACATTTGAAGGCGTGACCGAAGTGCAAACGCCGAGCCAAGGATGGCCCTTTTGCAGCGGAAGGTGCCGAAGATTGTTGCCGTTTTCGGCACGAATCGACCGCTGGCAGAGGCACAACTGGTGGTCACTTCAAGACATGCAAGGCATGTCCCGTCACAAAGCCATGCCCATGAAAACAAATTGTCAGTCCAGCCAACGCCAAATTTAAGCATGACCTGGAAGCACTTTCAGCCTTGTTGGGATGCAGGATATGGACTTCTGCTTGGACCTTTCGCAAATAGATCTCCGTGGCAAGGCGGTCATAATCCACGCTGGAACAAGTGAGCTGCACCCGCGTATCTGCTGTGAGGCCACAAATGACTTGCTTGACAAGTTCGGCGTCACCAAGGAAGGTGTGGGCGAATACCTGGTGTATAACCAGGCAACGGCACTGGGACGAGCAGCAGAGAGCCAGCGCGTGCTTCTATCAGGTGTTCCATCTCGACGACTTGCACAAGCTCCTTTGCGAATTCCAGTCCTTCGGCCAACAAAGAGATAGAGAGAGTGAGAGAGAGAAAGCGAGAGAGAGAGAGAGAAAGCGAGAGAGAGAGAGAGAAAGCGAGAGAGAGAGAGAGAAAAGCGAGAGAGAGAGAGAGAGAAAGCGAGAGAGAGAAAGCGAGAGAGAGAAAGCGAGAGAGAGAAAGCGAGAGAGAGAAAGCGAGAGAGAGAAAGCGAGAGAGAGAAAGCGAGAGAGAGAAAGCGAGAGAGAGAAAGCGAGAGAGAGAAAGCGAGAGAGAAAGCGAGCGAGAGAAAGCGAGAGAGAGAGAAAGCGAGAGATGACAAAACATTGCAGCATTCCCACGCTGAGGAAGAAACTCAGAGCCGGTGATCCCCTGGTCGTCCAGCAACGATTGGAGGTGGCAATGGCAATGGTAGTTTTCATCTAGACTGGTGCGATCACTCTTGCACCATGTTCAGGTGCTGGAGAATGAAAAGTGGGGAATCAAGGGCAACTGGCATGTGCACCTGAGTTCAAAGAGTAGTCATGGATGCAATATTGTTCCTGAGTGGTTGAGCGCGCCAAGGAACATGATTTTTGTCTATCTGCATCGTAGCAAACGATTCGACGTGAACTTGCCGCCAGAGACGTTGCAGGAGACATGAGAGGGCGCGCGGCAAAAGCCTTGCGGAATCATAGCAGGCTCTGAGCCCGCACAATTCTAGAAGCAGCCAGCCAGGAAGTGGAGAAGGGTGGTCGGAGTCCAAGCTGCGGGAAACGTAAAGGTGGCTCAAAAGTCGGGGGCCAAAATGGAACCCTGAGTAGACTCAAACCTGCGGTCCCCTGGCTCTTAAGTTTTGAGCCACACCCACGTGTTAGGGTTGTGGTCTTTGAGTTGCACGCCGGTCACGTTTCGAATCAAATGGAGCTTAAAGTCGCTGTTTTCTCAATAACTGTTTGAACATGTGTTCCATCGACTTTGAAATTCCGACTTTCTCATCCTCAGGATCAGGAGGCTTCGGCAACTGGCCGCACTTCAAAACGTCAGCAACTTACACTCAATGCTCTCATGTGCTCTCATGTGCTCCCAATGAATAGGCAGGAGAGTCCCTGCCCAGGTCTCATCAGAACTCCGGGAGTTTCACATCATACACACCAGCACAGGCCGTGAAGAAATGGAATATTGCTAGTCACGGAGGGCTTGAGTCTTGAGTGTAGGTCAACCTCCTGGCTGGATTCGGAGAGTATATGGTTCGTTCTGCACTCATACGCGCCATTTGAATGTGAGTATCTCAAAGCTGAGCCTAGGTTTCAATGCCAACATGTTTGAGCAGTTCTTCCAGCGCTGATTTCAGAATTGTCTGCCATGCCAAGCCAAAGAGCTCAGGTTGCATGTGCGTGTGTTGGGGCAAAAGAGGAAGCGACAGTCGGACAAGTGAGACTGAACATTGTGCCACAAGCGACCGTTGACTGTGCTCTTGCCACTGCAGCTCTTTCAGCCAACAGCGCTTTGGGTGGACTTGAAAGACCGCTATAGACGACATGGATGAATGAGTCGATGTGCTTCACGCATTGCCAGCATCACAAAGCTTGGCAGCAGCAACATTTCAATGGGCTCATCCAAATCTGCACCATGCATTTCTTCGCCTCATGCAAATCGAACATACTCAGACGACGCACAACTACTCGGATGACGCACAACCAGCAAGCAGGTGACGCCAAGATCTGATAAGCATCTTGACGATTGGGCCGGCCTGCCATGTTGATCGTGCTGTTTACATTGCTCCTGGGTCGCTGTCAAAGTGATGATTCTTTGGAAGCTCTAAGAGTGGAAGGGGAATGTCTGCATGGCGCGTGTGCAGCATCGTGGCTTCAAAAACGGGCGCGGGAGTTTACGGAGCAGATGCGTGTCCAAGACACTGACCAGACATCCACAAACATCAGCCAAAGCGACGCAGAGACCTTCTGCGACAGCCACACTGACGGCTCTTGCAAATATTTCAGCTGCAGTTCTTCTCGTGGGAAAACGCAGTGTGTATCAGGACAGTGCCAGTGCCAACCAGGCTATTGCGCGGTTGGAGGCAAATGCGTGGAAAACGTTCCCGAGAAGAACCTGTTACAATGCCCCCAGAGAACTGGGGGGACGTGCAGCTGGTTCGGGTACTGCTACCAGTACAGAGGACCAACTCGGTGTGTTCAAGGAGAGTGCCTATGTGAGACAGGCTGCCAGGCTGCCAGCACCCGTTTCAGAGCTTCTTTGATTGTGAGTGCACGAAATTCATGCCCTGCTTTGGTTCATGTGATCATGAGTGCTGGTGAGCACTGTTATGTTGATGAGAAGTAGCAATCCAGGAAAGGTCAATCAAACAGCAGTTTATCGTGAAGGTCAGGGCAGGACAACTGATAACTTATGCCGCATGCCTGCTTTCACCTCCTGCCATTAAAAAACATCCTTGATATGGACAGGGCGCCAAGCACCAGGAGTAGTGCGTTTTGCGAGACGCTTCGTGCGCAATGAGGCTACTGCTCTGACAATGATGGCAAGTGCCACCGAAAGATGCCGGATATCTATGCTGATGTGGTTCCTATCAATGAGGAGAAAAGAGACTTCCCCCCACGCCAGGCACGGATTGCACAACCACATGCACTAACTTTCCCCATTGGCACGAGACTGGCGTTCGCACGTTGCCCCTGGTGTAGGCAAACATCCAAACTGCAGTTGCTCTTAGCGGTGGTGGAACCAGGGCCCAAGTGGCCGCAGTTGGAGCACTGCGAGGTCTTGAAGAATTGGGCTTGATAAGCCACGTGGACCTGCTAGTCTCAGTTTCTGGAGGCAGCTGGGCTGCTGGCCCCTACATGCTCTTCATACGCAGTGGCAGTTTGCATCAAGTGTGAGGTGCTGTTGTTCGCACAATCATGTTTGTCCGAGGTTTTCCCACCAGAGCCCCCGGTCGCTTTTGGGAGCTCCCACCAGACCATCACAGCTCACCTTGTCGGAGCGGACTTGATTGTGATATTTGTGATACCTGCATCCGGGAATCCTGGCTGCTTTGGAAGGAGCTTGCTACGCGGCCAGGGGCTGTCGGTGCTGGGGCCTTGATGCCACTCAGAGTTGCAATGGGTTGAGGCGCATGAGTTTTTGGGCGCAAGGATGCAGCTACGCATGACATCACCGGTCTCTTAGCACGCACAAGGGCACTTCGATTGTATACTTGCCTTCGGCTGAGCTGAGGTCTTTTGGAGCACGCGTTCTTTAACCATGACGACCCTCATGGGATTTGGGTGAACACCTTCAACGAGGTGGGAGCTGTGGCAGATGTGCGGTCAAGACAGTGCAACCAACTGCGGTAAGCCAGACCTTGCAATCCAAGCTGTCTCTACTGGCAAAGCCAGCAAAGCAGGGGACCGGAAGTTCGAAAGGAATGAGGCAACTGTAGGTTGGGAGCAGGTTCAACACTTCCAGAGCAAACACGCAGCTGGAATTTATTGGCTGGCTTTGGTAGTCGGAGTTGGGTTTCGGAGTTGGAATGCTTGGGAGTTTGGTTCTGGCAGGCATGGTGTTGGAAAGGGTGAATGGTTTGTTTACGGCAGGTTTGGGTTCGATTTCGGGTTGGTTTAGGCTTTGTTCAAAGTGGGTTTAGAGTCTTGGGTGGGGTGTAGGGTGGATGTGGTGGGCAGGTTCAGGGTTGGAAGGCTGGGTTTAGAGTCTAGGGTTTAGGGTGGAATTTGATGAGTTTAGGGGTTAGGAAAGCAAAGCCCTCAGTTGGACAGGCTTGAGCCTGGTGCGGGAACTGACCACGCCTGGCCTTTGACGCCGAAATCAACCTAGACATAGTCCCTGAGCCATGAACCTATCCTGAATCGACCTGACACCCTAGACCAACGACATTCGCCCAACCCCAGACCCTAGCCCACTGCCCCCTGTAGCACGAGCGGCTCGGGGCGCCGACGCCAGAGATAACCTCAGCATTCTCATCCTAGACCTGCACTGAACCTCGTGCCGTTTCTGGCCCCGTCGCTGGCACCATCGTTGCCCGTCCGTCGCCTGGTTTCCTCTATGACTATGTTTCGCGTTTGTTCGCTAGGCAATGCATACATTCCTGAAAGGCAGCACAGCTCAATCGGTGCCAGTTCCGACAACTAGTTGCCTTTAAACCGCAAAAAGCCCCCAGCGGGAGCGAAGTGAAACGCGACGACGCGTCTTACGTTTTGGCTACTGTAACCTCCCGAAAGTCCGCAGAGGGTTCGCCGTTTCATGGTTGCGAAACAGTGCACGAGCCTCCGCTCCGAGGGGGCTTCCTCAGGCGAACTCGAGCACAGGGTCATGCTTTTGTGGCAGCTCTTGTTGGCAACTGTTGCCCAACTTTGGCGTGTTCATCAATGCTTCCTTTCCTTTCCATACTCGCTTTCCTCAGACAGCACGCCTCACTCGGTTCTAGTACAGAAGTTCCTTCCAAACTTTCCCTGGGGAAGGCTCAAAGTTTGAAGGTTGAGTGTACGTTTTTTGTTTTTGTTTTTTTGTTTTTTTAACTGATCTCTCAGCAGAGCTCATGAGCTGCGCTTTCCCTGTCAGATACTCTTGAAGCCACTGGGCCTGGGCAACACGAGCAAGTACCCTGGCATTGACAATTGGTTGAATTGATCGATTGTGTGTTGCGCCTTTCAATTTCCTGTCAGGTACATGGTGTCGGATGAGCAGAACTTGCAGCGGATCCTGCGGAACAATCCTCACTTGTCAAGGGAGGAGTGACCCCAATCTTTGCAGGTTCATTGATTGCTTTCAACACATCTCTTGCGTTTCTGGAAGGATTTTATAGTGCCTGCAGCTAATCGCCCGCGGGCCTTTGTGATGCCGCCCGGCCAATCGTTGCGCATGACGCGTGCAAGCGATGCGCTACGTGTGTGTGGTAAGCAACCTGAGGATCATAACAGGACCCCAGATACATCAAAGATTTTGAACGACTCAAAATGCGCAAACGGCGCTGTGGCTGGAGCTGACCCAGGCTGGGCGTGCTGCTGGCTCCCCTGGGCCATGAGTCGAACGACGGCACCGTTGTGCCGCAGCCTCGGCCGCGTCCGTGGGCGCCGCTTTCATTCGCATCGGCCAAGGTCTCTACAAATGTCTCCAGATTTTTCAGGAAGCCCTTTCTATGCAGGTGGCCGGTTCCTCATGCAGCAGCGCCACTGCTTTTTGCTTTTGGAAGGGCTGTTGCAACTGGCGGCCAAGGGAGCGGCCATATCAACTACGAGGAGGAGGCTACTCACTGGATGGGCAGCGCAGACATTCCGGCTGTGAAGCTTGCCTGACGCTGAGCTTTGGATCTCTGCGTGTGCACTTTGCATGGCGAGCACAGGCTGTCGGAGGCGGAATGGTGGAGAGCTTTGCGTTTGGAAGCGGCACCCCGTATGGCAATGGCCAATCAGGAGGCAAGGCATTCAGCTCTCAACTAAGCTACCAGCTTGCTGAGAGGACACCGAGTCAAGATGCCAGCTCCTGCAGAGCCTTTCAGTCTTGCCAAGGACATTGATTTTTCTAGAGTCTAGGCGGAGGTATGGCACGCTGCAGAGGCTATTGGAGTTAGCAGCGCGGCCTTCTCTGCGATGGCTTCTCAATCTTTGGAGATGATGGGCGGCCAGACATTGCAGGTGCACTCATTACTGCACCCATGCTCGCCTCAAAGTTAAGAAAGAGCTTAGGGAGTGCAGTGACATCAAATGAATCATAGTGACTCACTCACCTGAGCACTTGACAGACACTCATCCCGGTGACGACAATGTGGCCTATCACTTCGAGAAAGCTTCCTCCTCCAAAGGCTTTTGGGGGTTGCAACTTTGGCAAAAACGCCTTGCGCATCTTGGGAGGCCGCTGCCAAGTTCAAGATTGGCGATGGTGGCCACATGGACAATTCGGGCCTATTGCCTATTCTTCAACGAAAGGCCTTCGGTTTCAACTACCAATGTTTCTTGGCAGATTGGAATCAATTGAAAATCGTTGAATCGCAGCAGGTGCCACGGGTCGTGATGTTTGTCAACACAGATGTGCCCATCAGTCTCAAGTCGGTCCGCGCTGCCAGTGTTGCATTTGCAGCTAGATGCATCTTGGCAGCGTGTCATGTTTGCAACCTAGGACTTTTGTGAGCAGCGGCCGATGCTCTGAGCTTGGACTCCACATCCACAGGCATTGGTGATAGAACGCAATCAGGGCCGCCCCAGAGTTGGGCAGCGCGGCCGAAGCCTCAAAGAACCCTAACCTTTGCATCAAGGATTGGAAAGACGTCCACGAAGTCGCTTTGTGTGTGCAAGGCTACCTGGTACTTTGTGGACAAGTTTGGCCTTGCGGCACATGCAGCTGGCCAGTTTCAGATGCACAACCAGGCTTCATCCAAAGAATTTGGCATTCATTGCAGCCGATGTGCGCAGCAGGTGTTCCACTTTGCCGACTTGCAGCCCATCCTGTGTGACTTGCAAACTCACAGGCGCATGGAAGGCATTTGTCCAGAAGATGCATCTGGTTGCAGCTTAGGCGAGCTGGACGGCCAGCAATTTCCATGCGGAAACTGGAAGTCCTAAAAAACAGCTGGCGGAAGCCTTTCCACTTTTGTAATCGTGGCCGCTGTGTCCACGTGATTCAGGTGGGGCATCGAAGGAGGCCGCGTTGCCGCCGTTGAAGTGCCTTACTTCATCCAAGACCTTGTGAGTTGACAGGATGGACCGTCCAGCTGCTTGTCGTGTACATGGACAAGAGCCAAGTCTTTGAAAATCAGCTCCCCAAGGACACTCAGAAGGAGCTTGTTCTATGTTCTCTTGGTGACAGTGAAGCATGACAATCGTATTCGGTGAGAGTCGTAGTGATTCGGGGTAGATCTGGCCCTCTCTGCCAGGAGATTGGAGCAGGTAAGGAGGGGATGTTGGTGCCCAAGCAGCACTTAGGGTCAGCATGTGACACGGAAAGCTGCACTTGGACAGGCCAACTACCCCCACTTCCCGCTGATGAAGCAGAATCCGGGTTCTTTGACCTCCTTCACGAGTGTTCAGGCGCTCGGACTCCGGCGTATGTACGTCCTGCACTGCAGAACGAGGTCAACCTTCTAGCCGCACAGGTGGAGCCACGCGGCGAAATTTCCCATGGATATAGTTCAAAGTCGAACAAGCATGAAGGACATGTCCCAAGCTCAAGCTCTTGTGGAAGCAGTGGAACTTGCACATGTGAGGCCGCGGTTTGCAAGGGCGGTCAGAGCAATTGTTCTCAATGTGTAAGAACAGGCTTTGTGAACGGCAAGACAACCAGTAAAGCGGATTGCTTGCCTGCATTCTTTCTTTCCAGAAGCATTGACAAGACATGCCCTGCTTTCTAGCAAGTCAAATCTGCAACTCCTTTCAGCATCTGAGGTTTTCCACCAAAATGCACGAAGGCTATTTGAGAGAGGTGCTACAAGGAGCTTGCTTCTGCAATTGCAATAGCATGGCCGTCAGATACAGCCAATGCCACAGGCATCCCGCATGATCCATCATCTCCTTTGCAGAGTGCTGGGTGTAGAGCTCAAGCCAAAGTTCCGTGACGCAGTGTAGATAGTCACATATTGATGAACTGTCCCAAGTTCACGTGAACTCAACGCTGAGGTTTGAGAGATTGAATCCGAATGAAAATCGAGACGAAGGCCCCCGGGGATGTATCTTTGCCTTGTTCCCGCGCATGGGAATTTGACCTGTTGCCCGAGGTGTGGATTCTGTGGCCTCGTGGGAAGGGGCTCGGTGACCCACATTGCTCAAGGTGCACAAGTTCACCGGCTTAGAGATTGAAATCTTTATTTGTAGCGGTGCAGCTGCTTGGTGAAGCGGAGCGAAGTCCCCGAATCCGAGCTGCATCAGTTGTTGCAGGTAACATAGTCCAAGAGTCCTGAGGCAGACTATGTCCCACCCAGCCAAAAAATGGCGCAGGTGTGTGGCAAAGCCGTAGCTCAATATATTGATTGAGCAATCGCACAAAGCCACGGCACACTTACATGAACTCTGCCGCCATATCGCAGCTGTTTTGGTTGGCTGGCTCTCGTCTGGGGCCATGTCCGAACTTGCTGGAATCCGAGACGATTAAGGGTGTTTGTTGATGCAATCAAACAGTGAAGCTGTCCAAGGCGTTCGCCGCAAGCCCTGCCTTGCGCGCTCCAATAGAGAGGGCTCCAGCAAGAGTGCAGGCCAAGTGATAGTGCTAACACGTGCCGATAATTGAAGCCCACTCTGCTGCAGGCATCTAGGAGTCCAGGATCCTCGTGGAACGCCTCCGCCACTGCTGGCTGCGCCTTTCCCTTAGCACAGCTCAAGACCTGGCCTCCGTTAAGTTATCATTCATGCCGCATCCGGACAAACAAAAACAAGATGCCAGCTTCGAGCTGAGGCGATTGCTGCTGGTGCTCTTGGTGCGGCACAGCGCTCCAGGATCTATCAATGTCATACCTTGATGATGTGTGCTTGAACTTGTGCAAGGAGACGGACAAGAACTTTTGCAAGGGGAGATGGCGTGCAGGCAGGCCTATGTACTAGAGGAACTTGCACTTGTCTTTCGAGCCAGCCATCACAGGAAGCAGTCGCAGCCGTTTTGTCTTGCGTAGACATAACCACAAGTCGAAGCAAGCTCATGATGATTGTTTCACCAGCGAATGACCTCACCGATGTGTCACGCGATGATAGACACTGCCTGACAAAGAAGGGCAGCAGAATGCTGCATTGTTTGCCCGGGCAATGGCGGGCCCTGGCCTTCTTAAGTTTCTGGACTTGCCGCCTGAAGAAGTGCCGGGAAGCGCACCCCGCGCCGCACCAAAGGCGCAGGCGACGCCGCAAATGAGCGCGGCCGGGTTTCTGCCGATGCTAAGCACGGCAGGACTTGCAACGGATTCGGACTCCGATGATGGCCTGGTGATTCAGAGGGAGGGACAGTATCAGGAAGTCCTGGCCATGGCTTGCGAGCCTCCTCCTGAAGCTTTTCCTGGACTGCCTACACACATCATCCTTCGCGTCCTGCGAATTGGTGGGCTAGCGGGGAAGATTGAGAGCAAGGGAATACCGGGGCGAGAAGATCTTGGCTTCTTCTTAGAGGAGAAGAATCCTTTGGAGCGAAGCACGGTCCGTGGCCTCATGTCATGCTGAAGCCAGAGGAACGATCTGCAAATCCCGAGGCTGCTGCAGCTGTTCTGGGTGACCGACCACCCGGGAGGCACGCTCGTATTTCGCCGCATGTGGCAAATGAAGCCCATCTTGCCATATCTCGACGCATGCTCAGTGCCTGCACCTGGGAAATGGCAGGCATCGCTGCACCGAGCCTCGGGCCACACCAACAGCCTCCGGAGAGAAGTGGGAGGTGCCTGCACCACTTTGGGCTGGGCTATCGGAGCTGGTCGGAAGCGCTTCTTTGAACTGAGAGTTTATCAGACTTTGCAAGCAGATTCAGCCAGTCGCTCCATGTTGCTTTTGGGATCATTGCAGGCTGCTTGGGATCGAGGCTCCCCAGGCAGGCGCGAGCGACGACAGTTGCAAAGCTGCAGCTGTTGCATGAACTGGCCCTGCACTGCCCACAAGAGCAGTGCCAGGCGAAGTGAAGGTGCGACTGAAGGAGGGCCAGGACTCGATTGCGGTCGGCATTCTTCTGGGGCAAGAAGCACCAAGCTAAGCTGGGCAGAGTTTTGTCAGCACTCCGATTCATTCACCAGTGCCAGAAGGACTGTGTGCAATACCGCGAATCCAACAATTCGCCGAACGCATTCCCTTTTTTTGGCGTAGCCAGCAGTGGCTGCTGCTTACTTCATTTCACTTCCTTTGGTGTGTCATTCAGGTCGTTGCGACGACGGCTGAGCTTGACCTCACAGGGACGTTTCGGCGATTCTTCCAACACCATGAGCTCTACAGGTTGGACCATTCTGCAATTGGATTGCTCAAGTGGTAAATGGATGCCAGGCCTGGCTTTAGCGGCGTTGCCGTTGGAAAGCAACTTGGCAAAGTTAAGGACGGATTTGGAAATTCTAGTTGCTGGGCTTCTAAGTTTGCATAGGCGAGCGATGTTGAGGGAAACAACTTGTGCTGATTAATTCCTGCCAAACTTGTGGTTGTCTACTGATTGCATGGATGCGCCTGGGCTCTTTGTTGAGGTTTATGATGTTGGAAAATATTCGTGGGCTTCGCCCCACACCAGCTGCGCTGCCAAAACAGACAGAGACGCAGAAACCGGAGCCAAAAACAGCATGTATGAGGGATGATCCCAATTTGTGTTGCCCCATGACATTTGTGGCACCGACGTTTGGACAGAGGGTAGCAATGACTTGCGATCCCAGAATGAAAGCTCGATGGCCGAGCTCCAGGCCTTCGGTCTAGACAAACACTTGTGCCCACCCTTGCCGGGCACCCTCCCCCGCGACGCGGGGGTCGGATAGCAATGGAAGACCTTTGTTGATGTTGACGCGCTCAAAAGGTGATTATGTTGTAACATATTTGCCTTTGGGAGTGCTGACGCTGGAAATGCGGGAGGTGTGACTTGCTTTAAGCACTTTCACCTTCTTGTTAGAATTGAACTCTTGCTGAAGTGGAAGCGTGATGAATATTTCGAGAAGACGCCGTGATTGATGCAGCACCATGACTATAAAATGTTAAGCATCACACACCTGCGCAGGTTTAACATTTAGTTGGCCTGTCCATTCTTGAGTGGTGCATTTGACTTCAGGATCGAAGATGCCACAGCCCAAATTGCGTTGGAGCTGTTTCCTCCAGGCTGGGCAATGCTTCACTCAGGATCACACACCAGACCTTCTTTCAGAGTGAGTGCCAGGCTCGCAACTCCCTCCACGACCCCTCACTGGAGAAGAGGAGATGGACAAGAACGCCAGGGAAGCTCAGGTGGGAGCCTTCCGCTTGCACTTTTGGGATAGAGGCACCGTGTATCACAGATGTCAGAAACTAAGGTCGAACCGCTGGTGGACTGCAGATTTTGCGATGGCTTCGGTCGCAGGACCGGACTGAGCATCAGCCAAGTCTGTGCAGCAACACGTCACCGCCCGTGGTTTGGCAGCTCACTCTGAAAGACTCTTTCACCTGACCCTCAAGCCTCGCTTTACCCCCACACTCAAGGACCTTGCGGACAGAGTTGTGTTTGCAAGGGCGAAAACATGCTCAACATGTTGAACAGAAAACCAGAGAACTTCTCATGCCCTTGCAACAGGACAGTTGTTGCTTTGGAACAACAACAAGGGCTTTGTTAGACGCATGGCTTTGAGGGGGGCACATCAAGGACCTGAGAAACAAACGACAGCAAAAAAAAGAGTCGCCAGCTGCACCAGATGGCATCTGTAGCATGGGATATTCAAAGTAAAGCCACTGCAAACAGTGGTGGGAAGACGGGATAGGATTCCATAGGTCCCATGTCGTATGTTCTGACTAAATCAGATCTCACCCACAGGGGATGGCTTCAAGACCTGCAGCATCCTAGGGCTCCACGTACACGCATGCAGCACCAGCTATCGTTGTTTGCTGGAAAGAGTGTCACACCATCTTACATGCACGCGTGCTGGTAGCCTGTCGCACAACGTGCCACGCGTTTTTCGGCTTCACCTTTGAAGGTGCTGCAGATGTCGAGCTCTAGGCCTGTTCTACACGGTTTGCTTCGAGGAGTTGTGATGGCTGCGGTGGCCACGGGATTCTGGTGTGTGGAACGTGCGACGGGATGTCAGGGCCTGAGGTTTTGCACAGGGCTTCCGAGGTTTTCAGACCTCCAAACCACACGGCTCTCAGGCCAGCGCTACCCTGCCCAGTCTGCCGTGGACGTGGCCTGCTCCATGACAATTTGGAGGTCCGCAAAAAGTTGGCGAAGTCGAGGGGTAGCCACATGTAGACTGCAGCAACGCCTTTCGATCAACTTGCAAGTTGTGCTGAGGGCATTGGAGGGCCGCTACATCGAAATAGCCCAGATGGCGGTCTGATGAGCTCAGTTCGAGGGCGGCGATGTCAAGCGCAGCCCTAAGTTGGCGGATTCGCTACACATCAAATGCATCAAATGCATCAAATGCAAATGCCATCTCCCTGACTCAGAATTGCTGGGGCGCTCCGTTGACGTGCAAAGATTGCTTTGGCGCGGCTGCGCTCCGATGCTGCGGGCTCGGCTGCGCTTCTCTCGCGCATTCTCGAATGCACGTTCGCGTTGCACGTGACCCAGGTAACGTGTGCAACGGAGCGGGGTGGTCAGTTTGCACTCGGTGCCCGAAACCTGCCTACTGAGTGAGCCAGTGTGTTGCAGATGCAAGTGACGTCCAAATCGGTGTGTACATATGCTGTTAATGAGGAGCAACTTGCAACCACTGCGAGTTGCTGCAAGTTGGAAAAGCTATGCAGATTGCAGACCTCTGGCGAATTATACGACTAGATGTTGTCCTCAGCTATGTTTTGACGAGGGCTTATATTATGGGTCAAAATACTTGGCGAGATAAATTTATAGCGGAATATCATCAATAAGACCTTGAATGAGCGCTGTAAAGGTGGCAGTTTTAGAAAACTGCGATGATTCACGCGGGTTTGACGATGCCATGGTGGACCGTGCCTGAGTTCAAAAGTTTGGTGTGGCAGGTTCAGGCAGTGGATCAGAAGGAGGCGCGGCTTGCCTGTTCTCACAGCCGAATATCAGAATCCCTTGGCTGGAGTGAGAAAAGGTAGAGAATTGAAGAGGGAACTCCAGTGCAGAAAAAGTGACTGCAAGCCCATGAGATAAGGAGTATCCGACACCGAAACCTTGCCTCTTGCCAAACCACATGGCAGGCCGTTGCTTTGCGCGATGGTCAGAATGCACAGCTGGGAGAGGTCCTGGATCAGGCCTGCCAGAGCACCACTTGACTTCTGGATTCGCTTTTTTGAAGCAAGATTGTGGGGTCGCACTTAGGAATACACAGCCGGCTTCTACACAGATATCGAGTCCGAGTCTTTGCCACCAGGCTTGAGCGAGGACAGGCTTTGCAGCCAATGCAGTAACTTCAGACTGCCCAAGTCACTTCATTTTGATGCATTCACACCATCATTGTTGGCTTCCCTTGCTTTGCTCCCACCTCATTGCTCAGATGCAAGTTATTTGACGGAATAGGTGGTCATGCAGCCTGAGCCCAGAAAGCGTTCTTTGTCAGATCCTTGAGAGCTTCCCAGGACATCGTCCGCAGAATTTCAGCGATCAAAGAGGAGCCCGAGTGGATGTTGGAGTTCCGCCTGAATGCCTTTAGGCCTGAGATCCTGTGCTGCAAGCAATGGCAATCGCTGTGCAGAGGAAGTGGCAGAAGATGGAGATGCCAGAGTGGGCGCACTTGGAAATGGACCAGATCAACTTCGAGGACCACAGAGCCCTGTGAAATTCATTCCAAACCTACGAGCTGCTTGCAGGATATTGTGTACTACTCTAGGCCCAAGACGCATAAGAAAAAGCAAAGTTTGGATGAGGCCCAGCAGAACTGCCCATGTGTGACTGCCCTTGGGTTGAACCCGCCGTATGTGGATGTTTCGGGACCAGGTTGATCCTGAGCTTTTGAATACCTTCGAAAAGCTGGGAATCCCGCTGACAGAGCAAAAGGCCGGAATCGGCAGCCTTCTGCACGTGCCCGCGTGTGCTTTTGAGCAGCGCTCCCGCAAGATTGGTACCTGTTTCGGAAGCAAATATAGAGCAGTTTGGATTTCTCACTTCACCATGAAGCCTTTGTTTGCAACAGTTTCAGGTTACATGCCTTTGATTCATTCCCCGTGCCAGCGCTTGGCCAACGTTGCCGTGGATGCGGTCTTTGACAGTGAGAGCATCGGTACAACCTTTCAGAAGGAGCTGTCAGAGGAGCGATCATTGATGAACAGTCACAGACAATCAGTTGCGCACAGGGCAAGCTAAGCTGGTAAGATAGCGCCTTTGCGCATTTTCGTCTCAGCGCTTGAAGGCAGGAGTGATTTTCTGCTCCATCTCCGAGGCAATCAAGGACTGCAGCTTGCTGTAGGAGTTGAGTTAGTCTGGGTGTTCGGTTTTCCAGGAGCATCCGGAGCTAGTCAAGCAGCATTTGGGATCTGTCGTCCCAACTTCGGACAACTTCTTCGCAGCACTGAACAGGCCGGGGGGGGTGCATGCTTGCAAGATGAGCTCTACAACTGGTTTTTTTCACGTAACTTTTCCAAGCAGGCGCATCCTAGTGCGTCCCATTGGGATTTACACATCGTACGTCCAAATTAGCGTTTTAAACCTGACATCTTGACATACTGCGTCACAGTGGGATTTACACATCGCGCATCCAAATTAGTGCTTAAAGACAGACATCTTGACATACTGCGTCGCAGTGGGATTTACACATCGCGCGTCCAAATTAGTGCTTAAAAGCGGACATCTTGACATACTGCGTCGCAGTGGGATTTACACATCGCGCGTCCAAATTAGTGCTTAAAAGCGGACATCTTGACATACTGCGTCGCAGTGGGATTTACACATCGCGCGTCCAAATTAGTGCTTAAAAGCGGACATCTTGACATACTGCGTCACAGTGACTCAGTGGGATTTGGCAAGTTTTGCACTGACTTCTCTGACTTCGTGAATGCGCTTGCGTCTCATGCAGGTTTGCTTGTGTAAGCTGTCGTGCACTGACTTTCGCCGCCGAGTGTACTGATTTCATGCAGACATGAGACACGTCGAGTGTCATGAATGCTGTTTCTGCGCAGTGGGCCAGCGGTTTGGCTCATCACTCATTCCATGCAACACTTTTGGCTTTCTCGCAGTGCTGTCTTCAGCGACGGCTCCTTCTGCTACATCCCAAAGGACACCACGTGCCCAATGGAGATCTCCACCTACTTCCGCATCAACAACAGGGCGGGGCTCCATGTCAATGTCAGCGCCGTTGTCGTGCTGGAAATTGAGCACACCGACTTGCGCAAGGATTCTGGACAGTTTGAGCGAACCCTGCTGATTGCGGAAGAGAACAGTTACGTCTCCTACCTGGAGGGATGCACTGTGAGAGCCTCAGCCTCCTCATGTTACACCTCCATATTGCCTGCTTCCCAGGCTCCCATGTTTGACTCGAAACAGCTGCATGCCGGGCGGCCTAGTGCAGCGGAATCCACTCCGCTTCTCCGAATCGCATTGAGTGGAATCCATACAGATCTGAGATGGGTAAGTTCTTAAGTGACAAGCTGATGCTGGCTAGTTTCCACTGGTGAGCCAGGAAGATGAACATGTTTCATTTTGGCAGCCCCGGCTCTCACCTCCAACATTGCGGGCTGACTAATTGATGAGCACCCATTTCAATATTCCGTTCTTTGTCAAAGGCGCATGAGTGCGTCAGTCACTACCTTGCTGTGCGCAACATATCTAAACAGGACATCCTAAGTCTTGAGTTTGTTCACGGTTCAAGGCTCTCCTTGTAAGTCAGGTCCAACACGGAAGCTTCCACGCACCATGAGCGCCATTCTTGATTACGTGCAAGGCCTTGCATAGACCTAGAAATATCTGTTTTAAGATCTCTCAGCCGTTGCAGCCTTCTTGAATGTCTCTCAAGGATCTTTGGACTGCTTGATGCTTGTAAAACAGCGTTGCGTGGGTGGTTTCTCCTTTTGCAAATGATGCATTCAGGTAGGACAGGTGCCGCCAAGGTGCCATCCAGTTGGGTGCATGTTCGTTTGCTGTTGGCTTGTAATGGGCGGTAACTCATGGTGTAAGGAGCCTCGAACTTTTGTCCTGCTGTTGCAGCCACGCTCTGAAGGGCTTTGCGTTTGTAGAGGCTCAAGGCTTGCCCACTGACTGGCTGGCTGACTGACCGACTGACGGATGCTTCTATCATAGCCTTGGGTGTAGTGACTCCTTTTGTAAGTAGCTCCAACTACGATGCTTCTACGTTGTTGAGAGGGCTCCTCGAGGCACTTGGGATTGTTTGTGGTTCGGCACATGTGCGGCTCATGATGTAAGCTGCAAGCAAACCCCAATCTTGAGTCCCTGATGGATGCTGAAGGCTTTCATTGACAGAGATATTTGCGTGTTTCAAAGGTCCCTGCGAAACACCGTGAGGAAGCCTTCCTTGATTGGCACGCAAGTTCCATTCTTCAAAGAGCAACAATCGAGCTGATGCTAAGGCATTTTGTCATGTTTTTTGAGATATCTTTGCAGTGAGTATGAAGAGGCAAGCTATGGAGTAGTTGGATGATCCAAGGCTAGACATGTATATGCCATTGAACATATCCGCTACTGTACATGTGGACGGTGAGCATGCCCAGTGTCTCACGGGTGATGGTTGAAGCCGAGAAGAGTTGCGCATACGAATGTCTTCCATCAATTTCGTGTCAACTAGGAGCGGAAGTCCGGTCAAGGCCAGAGGGAGAGCCCTTCCAGCCACGAAGGAGTGGATTGATCCAATCCATTGGTGGTGTTTGGTGGTGGGGACATGCCCCATGAGGGGCACCGAACATCCCAGCTGCAGCTTTGGCTTGCCTCAAATGATCTCAAATGACTCAAATTGCCCAAGGCCGCAGTGGTCGAACTGCGTGCAGCCGAGAATGCTGAGATCAAGTCGGGCTCTCAGTCGAGTGGTGAGATTGCAGGCACATGTCACGTTCGGAGGTACTCCACCGTACAGAACTGGCAGCCTAGACAGCAGTTGGCATAGTTTGCATGCGTTGGCCCTGAGTTTTCTACACAGGTATGCAGGGGACAAGAACGGGAAAGGCGGCATCTTGAATTTGGCCGGCATCTCAAGGGTGATGTTGCATACATGTCCTGGGCATACGTCATGGTCCATGCACCTATCACTGGAGAAAAACACTGCAGTTGTAAGGGTTTCTTTGCAGGGAACCATACTACATAAGGAGTTTCGACCATGGCACAAGTGTGCCATGCTCAAAACACGTACTGTACATGTTCGGGCCGGAATCAAGGCTTTGGGAGGGTTTCGGAACAGCCATTCTTTGGGCCCTTTTGAAACAAGCTATGACTGATCCCTCAGAGCCAATCCTGAGCGAAAGGTGACCAAGCGTGGATTATGTGAAGGCAAGAAGTCCAAGATTTCGTGGACGCAGGTCGGCTCATTTGCATTCTGACCGATCCTTGCATTGTCTGCAAGCTTTTTTTTCCAAATCCATGGATCTTGGCCAATCTATTGGTCGCTGGTCACCCTACTCCAATAATCACCACGTTTGTGCAATCATGATTGGATATTGTGGGGAAATGTCCTCTTGTTTTACCCAAATCAGTGATTTTGACAGTTTTTTTGACATTCCCTGAACAGGTGGAGACTGGCTCGGCCGTGACTTGGAAATATCCCTCTTGCGTGTTGAAGGCCTGCACGCAGACAGACGGCACGCCTGATGCAGCGGGTGGCGATCTTGCGACTGTGGCCCAGGGAGATGGCTCCATCGGCGAGTTCTACTCCGTGGCTCTCACCAATAATTACCAGCAGGCAGGCAAGCATGCTCAGAGGCAAGAGGGAGACAGAGAGAGAGACAGAGGGAGAGTGAGAGCGCTCATCAGATATATTGTTGCACTGCGACAGTTCGCATGTTTGAGTCATGGAAGCTGCAGCAAGTTGACGGCTCAGGAAATGTGAGCCTAGCAACCTTTGTGCACCACGTTGTCCATCACCCTGCCCTGAACAATCTAGAAGAAAGAAGAAGTGAGCACCTCACTTGTACATAGTCAAACAAACACACACCATGTTAGATTTCGCTGAGGAGTTGTTTGAAGCTTGTTGATCTCGAAGAAGCAGCGATTGTTCTTATTGTTCTTTAAGTTCAGATCTACAAGCACTGCAGCGAGTGTCCTTGTCTTGGCCAGAAAGCCCTTGTAGCTCTCATGTGCTGATCATCGCGGCATGCTGAGCTTTGATGGCCTTCTCACACAGGCCCGCCCATGTTAGCCTTTGTACGCCTCTTGGAAGCTGGTCTCAGGTCTTTGAAGCCGAATTGGAAGAGGAGGAGGAGCAGATACGCGGCAGAATCATGAAGCAGCTTGCTCCAAGCACTGCAGGAGTCTCCACGCCTCGTTGA